CCTCTCCCGCGCAAAGCGGAAGCTTTTACGTTTCATTAAATCATTAGAGAAAGAAGACGATTCGTTGTACCGTTCTCGACTCCTAATCCTCATCTGAATTCAGTTCCCCCCCCCCCCCCCCCTCTAGCGCGAAGCGCGGAAGCTTTTACGTTTCATTAAATCATTAGAGAAAGAAGACGATTCGTTGTACCGTTCTCGAAAATAATCCTAGTCTGGATTCAGTTCCCCCCCCCCCTCCTGCGCGAAGCGCGGAAGCTTTTACGTTTCATTAAATCATTAGGGAAAGGAGACGATTGTTTGTACCGTTCTCGACTTTTAATCCTCATCTGAATTTAGTTGTTCCCTTCCCCCTCCTGCGCGAAGCGCGGAAGCTTTTACGTTTCATTAAATCATTAGAGAAAGAAGACGATTCGTTGTTCCGTTCTCGACTCTTAATCCTCGTCTGAATTCAGTTCCCCCCTCCCCTCCCACGCGAAGCGCGGAAGCTTTTACGTTTCATTAAATCATTAGAGAAAGAAGAAGATTCGTTGTACCGTCCTCGACTTTTAATCCTCATCTGAATTCAGTTTTTCCCTTCCCCTCTCCCGCGCGAAGCGCGGAAGCTTTTACATTTTATTAAATCATTAGGGAAAGGAGACGATTCTTTGTACCGTTCTCGACTTTTAATCCTCATCTGAATTCAGTTTTTCCCTTCCCCTCTCCCGCGCAAAGCGCGGAAGCTTTTACGTTTCATTAAATCATTAGAGAAAGAAGACGATTCGTTGTACCGTTCTCGACTCCTAATCCTCATCTGAATTCAGTTCCCCCCCCCCCCTCTAGCGCGAAGCGCGGAAGCTTTTACGTTTTATTAAATCATTAGAGAAAGAAGACGATTCGTTGTACCGTTCTCGAAAATAATCCTCGTCTGGATTCAGTTACCCCCCCCCCCCTCCTGCGCGAAGCGCGGAAGCTTTTACGTTTCATTAAATCATTAGGGAAAGGAGACGATTGTTTGTACCGTTCTCGACTTTTAATCCTCATCTGAATTTAGTTGTTCCCTTCCCCCTCCTGCGCGAAGCGCGGAAGCTTTTACGTTTCATTAAATCATTAGAGAAGGAAGACGATTCGTTGTTCCGTTCTCGACTCTTAATCCTCGTCTGAATTCAGTTCCCGCCTGACCTCCCGCGCGAAGCGCCTAAGCTTTTACGTTTCATTAAATAATTAGAGAAAGAAGACGATTCGTTGTACCGTTCTCGACTTTTAATCCTCGTCTGAATTCAGTCCCCCCCCCCCCCCCCCCCCTCCCGCGCGAAGCGCGGAAGCTTTTACGTTTCATTAAATCATTAGAGAAAGAAGAAGATTCGTTGTACCGTTCTCGACTTTTAATCCTCATCTGAATTCAGTTTTTCCCTTCCCCTCTCCCGCGCGAAGCGCGGAAGCTTTTACATTTCATTAAATCATTAGGGAAAGGAGACGATTCTTTGTACCGTTCTCGACTTTTAATCCTCATCTGAATTCAGTTGTTCCCTTCCCCCTCCTGCGCGAAGCGCGGAAGCTTTTACGTTTCATTAAATCATTAGAGAAAGAAGAAGATTCGTTGTACCGTTCTCGACTTTTAATCCTCATCTGAATTCAGTTTTTCCCTTCCCCTCTCCCGCGCAAAGCGCGGAAGCTTTTACGTTTCATTAAATCATTAGAGAAAGAAGACGATTCGTTGTACCGTTCTCGACTCCTAATCCTCATCTGAATTCAGTTCCCCCCCCCCCCCCCTCTAGCGCGAAGCGCGGAAGCTTTTACGTTTCATTAAATCATTAGAGAAAGAAGACGATTCGTTGTACCGTTCTCGAAAATAATCCTCGCCTGGATTCAGTTCCCCCCCCCCCCCCTCCGGCGCGAAGCGCGGAAGCTTTTACGTTTCATTAAATCATTAGGGAAAGGAGACGATTGTTTGTACCGTTCTCGACTTTTAATCCTCATCTGAATTCAGTTGTTCCCTTCCCCCTCCTGCGCGAAGCGCGGAAGCTTTTACGTTTCATTAAATCATTAGAGAAGGAAGACGATTCGTTGTTCCGTTCTCGACTCCTTATCCTCGTCTGAATTCAGTTCCCGCCTGACCTCCCGCGCGAAGCGCCTAAGCTTTTACGTTTCATTAAATAATTAGAGAAAGAAGACGATTCGTTGTACCGTTCTCGACTTTTAATCCTCGTCTGAATTCAGTCCCCCCCCCCCCCCTCCCGCGCGAAGCGCGGAAGCTTTTACGTTTCATTAAATCATTAGAGATAGAAGACGATTTGTTGTACCGTTCTCGACTTTTAATCCTCATCTGAATTCAGTTGTTCCCTTCCCCCTCCTGCGCGAAGCGCGGAAGCTTTTACGTTTCATTAAATCATTAGAGAAGGAAGACGATTCGTTGTTCCGTTCTCGACTCCTTATCCTCGTCTGAATTCAGTTCCCGCCTGACCTCCCGCGCGAAGCGCCTAAGCTTTTACGTTTCATTAAATAATTAGAGAAAGAAGACGATTCGTTGTACCGTTCTCGACTTTTAATCCTCGTCTGAATTCAGTCCCCCCCCCCCCCCCCTCCCGCGCGAAGCGCGGAAGCTTTTACGTTTCATTAAATCATTAGAGATAGAAGACGATTTGTTGTACCGTTCTCGACTTTTAATCCTCATCTGAATTCAGTTTTTCCCTCCTTCCCTCCACCCCTCTCCCTCCCCCCCCCCCCCCTCCCCCGCGAAGCGCGGAAGCTTTTAAGTTTCATTAAATCATTAGAGAAAGAAGACGATTCGTTGTACCATTCTCGACTCTACATTTTTTTTTAAAGGGGGTGGGTTTTTTTCTCTCTCTCTTTGGACTCCTTGAAAAAGGAAGTTATAAAATATCTTGAATATCATAGAAAATCTCGGGATCAAATTCCTGAAATTCCCGCTAGCTTTGAAAGCTCATTCAGGATTTTTTCATTTTGAAAAGTAAAAGCATTAGCCCCCAGTCCCCCTCGATCGACTAGAGCTCACCTGAAATTGGGGGGGGGGGGGGAGGGTGTACATTTAGCAGTGTTCCGGATTTTTTTTTGGGGGGGGGTCTCCAAGGTAGGAAAAGCCAGCGAAAAGCCGGCGAAAGGGGGATTCAGAAATGTTGGCAGTCCTGAGATAGGGTGGGGGGGGGGGGTGCTTTCAAAGGGCGGGAACGAGCGTACGCGTACCCTAAATAATACTAAGTGGGGGAGCCGAGCATCTAATGTACATGATTGCACTTTTTAAGCGCTCGCGCTCTGGCGCACTTTACGTCTGGGCTATAATAATACCTTGCAAAATAACGAAAAATTATTTTAAAGTTCATGAAGTGCTTGTTCACGCACGTTGCGCAACTACTCTTAATGATCGTGACATACTATATCCGTGTAGGCTATACAGTTATACTTACATTAAAAAAATAACTCATTTCTCATGTATTATGCTAAAATTGAAACAATCACATTTTTTTTTCTTCTTCTTCTTCTTCTTCTTCCTTTTTTCTCTCTCTTTTTTTTTAATATCAGGGGGGATGATTGTACAGGCCACCCCCCCTACTTCGAGCCAGGGGGGGGGGGATGCAGCCCCCCCCCCCCCCCCCATCTCCCAGGGATTTACGCCCCTGCTCTGAGCCCAGGAGAGTTTTAATTCTTAATAGTTACCGCCTTTTGGGTTAACAGCAGGCGATTGACTTGTGTTGATTTCATTTTTATTCGTTTTCTGTATTTGTTTAAATTTCGTTTTCATTACGAAATCGACAGAAATGGCTTTACAGGCATGCAAATAAGAAAACATAAATCAGCAAGTAATTTGTATGGGGTGACTTTTCTATTTTCCTCTTACCAGACCTTTCTTCATGGCAGGATTTCGGGATTGAATAGCCTTGTATTTTTAGGTTTGACTGACAAAGCTGTAGAAGGCACATTTAAATGGATCGACGGAACACCTTTACAGTATGTTCAATAACTTTATAATACCTACGTAATTGTTACTACTTTGAAAAAACTGCCAAACTCTAAATTACTAATATCATTCTCTAATTATATGATTTGTATAATGTTCCTTTTGTTTTAGGTAGTTTCAAATAATAGATTAAACCAAAAATAAGAAGAAAAAAATCGCCGACATTTTCAATTGTAACTCGAAAACAATTGTATTTTATGTAATTTGTTGGTCTAAAAAGCAAAATATGCGTGATAATTTTTTTGATCACACTTTAATCGCTAACTTATGTTTTAATCATGAAATGATTGCAGTCCGTAAAAAACGAAAAAAAAATGAATTTTGCATGTCGTAATGCAAGAGACGATGTGTTTTAACTTTTAAATACATATTTTCATATCAAAAGAAATAATATTCCGCATACAAAATACAACTTTTCAATATGCAATGAAATAATATCGTTAAAACAGTAGTGCATACTACGATTTTCGTATATATTAATCTTCATTGGTTCTTTGTCGATTTAGATTGAAAAGTGATGTCAGGAAGCTTACTTTTTGATTGAGATATATTCTTATGGATGGTTCGGCTCAAAAATCCAGTTTCGGAACTAAAAGGTTTAAAGCAAAAATATAAGACAGTGCACTTATATAACACAGGTCATTATAATCCAATCATCAGAATTTGAATTTAATATCTGCCTACGCAATGCAGAAAAAATCCTATAAACAAAAAAGAAGGCACACCATTTTGTAATAATAATAATAATAATAATAATAAAAACGGTGCTTATAAAGCGCTTATAGAAGTCTCTATAAATGCTATAACAAACAATATACAATGACATATTAAACAAAACAGAAAGAAAATGCAATAAACACACAAATTACAGTGCATATGGAATATACGTCAATGCAAACAGAGTATTACAGTTAATTATCAAAAGCAATTTTGAATAAATGTGTCTTAAGACAAGTTTTGTTTAAAATCATTGTTTCGTATAACCGTCTGTTTACTCCTTCAAGCGTTTGGTTTTCCATTATTCTTAATTCAATAAACACAGGTATTCAGCATGGAGGGATCCGGAACCTAACAATTATGATGGGAATGAAGATTGTGCCACTCTATCTTCTGATTCAGACATGGGATGGCTTGATATTCCTTGTGATCTCGACCGACCCTTCATATGTGAACGATATCAGGGTAAGTCACTAGACCTAACACGTATTGTCGTTTCTGTTTCATTGCCATTTTTGTTCTCTCTCTCTCTCTCTCTATTTCTAATTGCTTTTTTAATATGTTTAGGTCTATTAAATTAACCTAGAAATTTCAAAGAGAGCCTTTAATCCACTGTTGTCGAGTTACGGAAACTGTTATTGTTTGATATAATTTAACCCCCCCCCCCCTCTATGCTACAAAAAAATGAATCGAATCCTTGCTGCGCCACTAATGTCCTCTGGCAAGCCAGTAATTACGTTTGCCACACTAGATCTAGGTGTAGTAAGTACATGTAGGTACTTGACAGGAATTATTCCTTGACTGCATTGAGCGGAGCTTTGATTAGAAACGAAGCTAATAATATCCAATATCGTTTAGAACTGCATATATATAAATTATATGATGTGACATGCGCTATCCTAAAACGTATATCATCATTGTTATTATTGTCTCGCCTACCAAAGATGGAGTCGAGTCTGTCGAGACTAAGGGGACCAAATGGCGTCCGTCACAAAGTGTACCTAGACGGTATGGTGATATCGGGGGTCATATGCTAAGATCAAATGTCATTTGGGGTCATATGTTAAAGTTAATTTTTTTCACAAGTAAAGTGCCACTAAACTTGCTCTTTAGAAATATTAATATAAGTTTGTCATGGATGGGAGAGACACGATCCGGTGATTACTTTAAATACTAAGTATTTGATGAAATATTAGCTTTGATAATGTTATCTGCTGTCATGTCTAAACACAATTGCATATCCATGTTAACAAACCTACTTATAATGATGTTTTGTTAGAACTGCATATCCAATATCTCTTAGCGTTTTATCATCTGCGTTATTGGGTCAAGATTTGTCCACAACCACAATGTGTACACATTCTTCACTCTCATTTTACAGACGCACACAGTGTAAACCCAACAAAGGAGATGTTTGCATACCACAGGGTACCAATATTACCTGGGTGGACAGGAGTATGTTACATTAAAGTGCCGTGCCGGAGAGTGAATCCATGATCTTCTTATATCTGGTCACGTATTTTATCAGTATGACTATGATTAATGTAATGACACGTACTGATTTGAAATTCTCTCTTTTTCCTTTTTCATAACACGATGAACATCTAATAATGGCAATCACCTTGTTTTAATCAATATATATAGACGTTCCAGAATATAAGTGGACTCGCCTTGATGGAACCCTGTACTATATCTCTCAATCCTCGATGACGTCATACTCGTTTGCTAGAAAGTACTGCCAGGCCCAAGGAGGGGATCTTGCCCAGCCTAAAACAGACAAAATCAATGTAAGAACGCATTGTGATTTTGGACCTTTTAATTCTAAGTATGAATAAAACATGATAACAACTTCAACGGGCTTTAATCTAACAATAGTGTGTGCAAAAATAGAAAATGAAAGCAACGAAAGTAATTTGAGAGGAATAGAAAATCTTGTTGGTTTTGTGAAAACATTCGGGAAAGGGTGTAAAAGGTTATAGAGAAGCATGATATATACGCGATGAGCCAAGCATAAGGGAAACAAATTATATCTTAATTCAGCTAATTCAACTTCCAAGAATGTCATAGACTATCGGTATATCGATAAAGTTATCCCTCTATCATGATCATGGGACATTAGAAATTATCATCGGTGATTTTCTCTTTCTGAAATATTGTCTTAACGCAATCACCAGATGCATCTCATTGAGCTGGCTGGAGGTAACTCGTATTGGTTTGGACTGGATGATATCAATCAAGAGGGCATGTTTCAGTGGATTGATGGCACTCCACTCGATAATAATGGGTATGTGTTAAACTGTATTATTCATACACACAAGCACAACAATATCTCACTGCGATCATATCATGTTGCAGACAGAATATAATTGGTAGAAACTGGTAGGTTAACTTTGATAACATGATTTTCCGAGATACAAGTTGATATTCATCAAGCTTAGGATGGGTTTTCCACTGGATTGATGGCACCCCACCCCCCCCCCCCCGAAAACGTCGAAAATGAAGAATTTGTCTTAGTTTACATGTTTTTTGTATGCGGACCTTATGGAGCCTAAAATGATGCAAGATCATTGTTACCAAGAAAGGCATTGTCTATATTTGCTTTTTAATGTATATATATTTTAACTGAAGCTCGAGTCAAGCCGCTGACATATTTATTTTAATACTGTGATAACACGTTACTGTTTGGAACATATTTTGACTTTCAAGATTTCCTGCTTGGTCGGATGGTGAGGCAACCTCAGTTGAGAATGAAAGATGTGTTCATCAGCAGGTTACTAATGGATGGAGAAAACTAAGATGTACATCCTACCTCAGGTTCGCCTGTGAAAAACCTCCGAGTACGTATTGGCATTATATTTCTATTATCTATATTCAGGGGTACTCCTTAGTGATAGTCCATGCTCAAATGATGCCTGTTTCACATTATTACATTGAATTTGAAATGCCACAACGAAACAATATATCGATTGGTAATATTATAATATTGTGCAACCACTGATTTAAATCGATAGTTGGTTTCCACTTTAATCGATGCTTGTACAATATTTTCAATGACAAAAAAGGAAAATACTTTATCATTTGAAATAAATGTTTTGCCTATTAAATATTCCTAGTTATTTGGGCTTTATCTACAGTTAATGACTCGAGGGAAGCGTGACTTCCTAAAGTATCATATATTATTTAGGCTGTGTTTCCCATAAATTGTTATACACTTCAGTTTTAGAAGAGGAGGCAACTTTGTTATAAAATATATGTAAGGACTCTTTTGTGTGTATATAACAACCGTTATCATAACATACGAAATGTAACATTCAAGTGTGAGAAAAGTCATTGCCTTGGAAAAGTAATGTATATTTCCTTTTACTTCTCCTCTAACGAAAATACTAGGCGGACACTAACTACTTGAAAACATAATATATTTTTTCCATAGTCCCGCGACAAATCCTTCCTGTACGTCTACTGGCAGCTACTCCATCACCCTACAGCGGAGGACTGACGGATGCGTCATTTATCTGTCTACTCGGCTCAGAGAATGAGGAGATTCTCACATTTTCCACAAGAAGACTCGTCCGTCTGACTGAGGCTATAACTTCCAATAGTTACACAGCTCCAGGAGACAGCAATGTTGTATCATCTGTAGTGTTAAGGCAGACTCTTCCAGCTGCTATGGATGGCTTGGGTTTTTTCGAATGTTCTGCAGTGACAGCCAGTAGAATGACATCTGTTCCTCTTGGCATTCTTCTTTCTTCCCGTAAATATACACAAACAGTTAACAACGAAGTTATTCATACCTCTAGTGAATGAGTGTGTGTATTTTTCGTAACTGAAAAATGCAAGGTGAACTGGTTAAATGAGGGCGTTTGTTGAACATGTTTATATGCAAGCTTTAATATGTCACATTCTTAAGACAAAAATTGGGACAAAACAATTTTTCACATAATTTGGTAAGGTTGTTAATAATTTAGTCGTTAATATTTTACATTTAAATTATAATACAACAGATAATTTCAACTAATGCAAATATTTCTAAAAAGAAAATATTATGATTATGTTGAGACTCAATCCGATCCTCAATATCATAAATGCTAATGCTTGAAACATATTTTGTAATAATGTTTAATTGATGACAATGTAAAATTAACGAAAGAAAAATGAAGCGAGAGGGATCACGATAGAATGAAAGACGAGATGACGCAATTGTATTGAATCAGCAAAAAACAATATTCGAATGTAAGGTGTTGTCGATGTTTCCTTCTTATTTTGTATAGGTAAATTGCAACCCAGTGATGGTCGGTTTACAAAGACAATACATGTTGGAGATGATATCACACTCAGTGTGATGAGCACGACAGGGATGGTAGGAGAAGACGGGATACGATGGCGTAAATTCACTGACGTAGACTGGGTTAATTCACTTATGGGAAGTAGTACTGGCAGTCTATCACACACAATCCCATCTGCATCTGTCTCGGACGCCGGTGTGTATGTGACGTACATGGATGGAACATTGGAACAACATCAATTCAGCCTCATAAGACTCATCGTAACGGGTTCGAATTTCGTCTTCCTTACACATCGAAAAAATATATCATTGCATATTGGTCACAAGGGTATAAATTCACTGGAACTAGTTACTCTTCAGCTCTGTAGCTATGGTCATTTAAATAACAACAATCAAGAAAAACCGATCGGAACCGACCAGATATATTTTGGTTTAAACGTCAGTAAAGCATAAATAATATCGATGAATGTAAAGTTGTAAATTCCATGATCGAGTGACAGTTTCTGCACTATAAAGCCTAATCGAGGACTTACAAATATTTACCCCAGACACTCAGCTTCATGGCCTGATGATGTGGTTTTAACTTTTTACAGTTAAGTTTTGATTTTGAACCGTTATACAATTGGGATCTGCCACTTTTTCATCATCAAGTGACGATTTTTCAAAAATCATGTATTCGGACCGACGTCTTTGCAATTAAAGGGATAGTTGAGTTCTGTTGCAGAGGGCGCTACACAAAATATTTTTTTGTGAGATAATGAAAAACTGAGTGTCAAATTTGAAAGAACATAATATTTAAATGACCAAATCATCTTTGTTTGATCAAAATCGGTTCAGAGACGGCTGAAATATAACGATTTCTAATACTTGTGTACCACCACAAATATTAGATATTTTAACGAACTTGAAAAAACCGTTGAAAAAATGAAATAACGCCTTTTACGTCGTATTTCATCCAGTGCCGATGATGGCTTTTTTGTTGGCATTTTCGTGTTGCTTATATTACCCACAATTAGCCGGCTCATGTATTGGTATTTTTAATTAAATAATTAATTAACGGTCACCGTGTTTTTTGAAAATGGAGCTGAATTGGTATGATCGTATTGGCTAAATTTCGAACATTTTGGGGTCTAAAATTACCTTAATAGCAATCATAGGTTCTAAAAGGGCACAAGAAATGTCATAGATAAGAATAAGAGCAATAACCATGCACTCTGAAGGCATTTGTGATCTGAAAATAGAACTCAACTATCCCTTTAAGGTATGATTTTGAACTATGCATCACAGGTTACGGGAGTGTCTTTTTGTGTCACTTCATTTTATAAGCTACCTGTTTTGAGATATCAGTGGCCTAACTCCATTCCAAGAAGTGCGTGTGTGTGTGTGTGTGGAATGGATGGGGGATGGTGTGATCGTAAACCGGCGCCGAGAGTTCTCGCACTAACACATTCATGACTCAAAATTGAGCTGGAAATGACAAGTTTGTTTAATGTCCTATTAATTTGAGTACTTCTAAATCAATTTGTATAAACTTTTAAAAATGTGATTGATTTCCTTACTATGGGGGTATTATTGTACAGCCACCCCGTTCAGAAATGTGTGCGTGTGTGGGGTAGGGTATAACACCCATCTCCGGGATCAACGTACGTGTGGAATGTACATTATATTTGTACATGTTTCATTTTATTAACAGAATGCCCTTATGGAAGATGGAATCCACCATTATGCGATCGTTTGTGTGATAGTTGTTATAATGGAGGTGTTTGCCACGAACTCTCAGGAACATGCATCTGTCCCCCTGGTCATGCTGGAAAGAACTGCCTCCAAGGTAAAACTAAGAAATCCCTAAAGAAGATACTACCATGTGAAACTTTTTTATTCTATGTCCAATAAAATCTTTGCCTTGAAATGAGTCTTTACAATGATATACTAATCGTTTTATGATGGTGATTCCAATTAATAATAACTACAACCATAATTACAAGAATAAGAAGGAAAGATGAGGAAGAAAAGAAGAGAAAAGAAGGAGGAGAAGGAAGAGACGAATGATTATGATGATGATGATGATGATGACAGTACTACAAATAATCTTAATTAGTACAATAAAAACAATAATGATGCCAATAACAGTAATAATGATGATTTTAAAAAAAAATGCTAAAACTATTAAAGATAATGAAAAACTAGTTTTATTAATACGCACATTTTCATAACAGTTTTGAATGATTTTAATATGTTTGAATATTACATGCTTGACTCTTCTCAAATTGGAGAATATTTTAGAACATTTGAATTATATTTAAATTAATCACTCTAATATATACATTTTCATGCAGCGTGTGGGATGCATAAGTTTGGCTGGGACTGTGAATTTGAATGTGGACCCGGTCAGCCTCTGGACAAGTGTGCTGGAAGTCAGATCTGTCTACCCGATCCTTATGGATGCATCTGTTTAGCTGGATATACAGGAATCTACTGCAATGAAAGTTAGTGCTCTAAACGACTGTTAGCATTATTGACATTAGGAAGAAACTTTGAAATACAAAAGGTATTTTAACCTTTCGTTTTACACAACTTGCACATTTCAAATCCGAATCCCTACGCAAAATTTGTCTAAGATGTATATTTTAAAAGAGGATTTATATTGGTATATATGCATGGATATTATCATGGTTTAAGAACTGGCACCTGTGTATTACTTACGATAATATATTAGGGCGAATGTGAATTAAAATATTATGCGGAGCAAATTAACTGAATAATATCTCCACAGATCTACAAATTTCGTTATATCACTTCTATTTCGTCCTAAAGCATGTGCAGATGGTATGTTTGGAGCTGATTGTCTACAAGAATGTCATTGTACTGATGGGGCAGATTGTGATGACGTCACTGGAGAATGTTCTGGAGATTGCTCGCAAGGATGGTCTGGTTCAGCATGTCAAGGTACAATCATTTACTTTACTTGAAAATGACATATAAAGGATCATAACAATGCTGAATAAATTTTATTGATAAAAAAAAGACCCGAGATAAGTCCCAACCTTTCATGTTGACTATTTTTTCCCAATGCAACTTCTTTTCGATGTGATTTTAAAAGCCAATTTATTTTTGAATATTCCTATGCCGCGATTTCATTCCATAGGTAAACCGACAAACAATTCATGGAATCAAAATACATGTTGCCTTCATTTTGTTTCTGTTTTTAACGTAATGACATAGTAAATAAGTGTACATATTAAAGGAATGTCATTCGCTTAACAATGCTGCCCATGACTTATGTTGTTTTCATCAAAAAAAAATATATTCATATTTCCTCATTTTAGTTCCTTCTGTTTGCCCAAACGGATACTTCGGGACAAACTGTACACAGAAATGCAATTGCAGGAATGGCACACCATGCCTTAAAGATTCTGGATACTGTGACGAGGTTGAAGGGCAGTGCGACTTGGGATATTTCACTGATTCTCTCGAGTTTCCATCCAACTGTATGACATGTAAGATTACTTTTATTGATATTTTATATTGAAATACAACAGATATTTAGAAACGAATGCTCGCATGAAGGTCCCTATACCACCTTATTAATTCAATCAAATTAGCAGATACACTTCTTAAATCTATGTACATATTCTGACAATAAGTGACATCCGAGTATAACTAAAAGATCTTAATATCCATTTTTTACCTGTTTAATATTATGATTTGCTATTCAAAAGTGCAATAGTATACTTGAATATTCGGTCTCTGTTTATTCTCATGACAGAACACTTTTCTCCAATATTATGCGATATCCCTTTTAACTTTCAATTTAAATTCTAGTTTCATAGAAGATCAGAAATGTCTTCCTAAGGCTGCTTTATATATTTTGTTTAGTTTCAGGATGTTTCAGCTCTTGTTCAAAGACATGCCATTGTTTTGGTGGTGTTGAGGATTGTAACTTTTTGACTGGGGATTGTTTGTCATCCACCTGTCATCCAAGATGGATGAGGGATCAATGCCAAACAGGTAACTGAGGTTGAAGGAAATACGTGTCTCTTTCCAAGTGTCTGCAACATAATTCGATTCTTCCATATTAAAACTTTTTTTCATTAAACAAAAATACTTTCAGTATTAATTCTGAGCTGCTTATATCATTCAAGCAGTGACGCACATAAGAACATATATCTTTATTTGGAGCGTACTGTCACTGTTCAGCCCTCATAAGTGTGTAACAATTGCCTTTCATCATCACCTACATCACCTACATTCACATGATTGGTAATATCAGCTTCCATTTCATTTTGTTGAGAGGGGGCGTTTCCAAAACTTGTCTATACCTTTAAGTTCATTTTTTAAGTGTTTAAAATGGTGTCATTCCCTTGTACTATCTTTCTCTTCCTCTCCACCTGTCTTTTGAACTGTCATTCACGTTTTATTATTCTGTTGTGTTATTTCACCAAATTTAGATCGTTTTGAGACGAGCTTTGAAAAGACCAATCCAGGAGTGGCGATCTTCTCCTGTTCCTTCACAGCATCACCAGGGCAAAATTTTCCCTCTGAGTATGTAAAGGCAGCTGCAGGAAAGTCTACTACGGAACCCTGGATGATTCGTATTAGCTCTGATACATCAGGAACAACCCTCAATTATTCATTTATCCACGAGTATACAGGGCCAGAAGAACCAATTTACTGCTTTGTCGCGGTACCTGAGAGTTCCTCCGAGTTTGCTTTCGTAACGCTACCTCCAAGAGATTTCTTTGGTAAGCAGTCCCCATAGCAGTTTATTGCAATAATGTTTTCACGTTGTACTCTACAAGTTTTTAAATGATCTATGAATTTTAAGAACGAGTACCTGTAACTCACGAAAATCCTTTCAAGCATAATAATTAACACTACCTGATCAGCTCTGTATGTTATTTTACGTTCAGTTTTTGATATTGGTCTACTTTCATGATTTATCCAGAAATGTAAACGGGTTTTGAGCCAGGTCATTTTTCAGTATGCACGTATATGGTTATAGTATTTCAAATATTTCACATATTAATTGCAAAAGATTATGTTCCATATTCATATCATACAATAAATTGCAGGTGGTATACTGAAATTCCAAGTACAATCATTCTTTAATTTGTACATTTAATGGTTTTCCTACCTGCTCATTTTTGTCCTTTCATTTTCTGGGCGGAGGGGGGAGGAAGGAACCAATGAGTTAGAATAAATGAGTACTATTTTTACCCACTTTCTCTGTGTTTATTTTTACACATTGCAGTTTTACCAAGTTATAATGGTGCACCAGAACTACTTGAATTTGGATACTACTATGCAGCTATCGGTTGGAGACAATGGGACCCTAGCTCTGATACCGGGGACGGACCGATTGTTGGATACAAGATATACGTGCGATCAGGTAGCAATGTCGTGTTGGCTAAAGAAGTACAACCTCCAAGCATGGTGAACAATACGGACCGTTCCGTATCGAAGAGGTCTGCTGAGAATGCCACTGAGATGGTCATGTATAACGTCAGTGGACTTGAAGCAGGATCAACGTACTCTGTTCAGATTGCAGCGATACGAGATGGTATCAACGGTGAAGGAGAACAAGGACCAGCATTGACCTTTACATCAAGACAAGGTTGGCATCTTAAATAAATTAATTTTAAAATACGCGTTTTAATGACGGTCCATTAGAAAGCTTGAAATATCATGAACCACAAATTTTAAAAAAGGAACCGCAAAAAAATATTTTTCGAAAAATGAAGAATGTAGATAATGAAAATTACAATATCAATCTATTTTCCATTTATTGAATAATAATCACACACCCACACATGCACGCACCCTCTGCCGCGCCCGCACGCACACACACACACACACAGCTTTCCGTATGTGAATCATCAATTTCTAGTTGTGCTAGTAAGCAGCCTACTGTGACCTGTCTGTTCACATGCCGTTATTCATTACAATCAATTATGATCATAATAAGTGAAACCTGTCTCTAAAGACCACCTAATGGAGCCAGGAAATGTGGTCTTTGTAGACAGGTGGTCACTAGAGCAGATTGACTGTACCGGATTCATCTATCATTTATCTATCAACTCTATGTTAATGCTCCCTCGGTATTTCTAACTCCTGTATTTCTATACCATCCTAGTTTCCATACCGTCCTCTTCTCCACCACAATCAAATTCAACTGGAGGTCCTTCAGGTTCAACAGCAACTGTCGTAGGAAGCTCTGTGGGTGCTATTGTTGTGATTGTTATCGTTATAGTGCTCATCATCATCTTTTACAAGCGAAAAAGGTTAGAGAGAGATACCTTGTACCTAACTTGTTCCTCTCACCAGTCCATTCAATCCCATCCTATTTCCCCTGTGGCAAGGGGCTTATACCATATGGGCATGATAATACAAGCTCAAGTATTTGTGTAATGTTATGAAGTTATTTAATTACTTTCTTCATTTTTTGAAATTGCTATTCAATGTAAATATTCTAAAGCAAAACGTTTTCTAAATGTTAGGGCAACCAGTTTGAAAGACTTATGATGTTACTGACATGTACTTTAGAAGTATCATTTCATACTAATTCCCAAATACTAATCGTCATGTTTACAAGTTATTATATAGGCCTACCTATTTATTTGGACCCAATATAGATATTCAAAAGCATAACACTTTTTAAATGCTATGGAAACTCTCTTAAAAGGATTATTATGTTAATGACATGCTTTTTAAAAGTACCATACCAATTCCCACATATCATGTTGACTTATTTCTATATATCTATTTATTGGGACTTCCTTCCTCAATCATGTTTTTCATCCTCTTTACTTTAATATCATTAACTTTCAGCGATAAATCAGCCTCTACTAGGTCTAAAGGGAAGGAGTCCGATTCGTCTCCGCAGTATGAGAACCCTGTATTTGATCCATCAAAGACAGACGTCCATACATACCAAGACATGAACACCGACCCTCATACCTACCAAGATCTCAGTACAGATGCTAAGACCTACGCGAATCTTACTGACACTCAAACATATGAAGACCTGAAGAAACCTGACCAAGAAGCTAACTACGAAGAATTAAATGACCCAATGAAAAGAGATTATGTCAACGTGCCAGGCATTTAAACATTACTATAATCAATGTTATGAGATTAGTTTCTTTAAATGGATATATAATATTCAATTCAATTCTATTTCGTCCAATAATGACATGGAAATTCATTGTGGGATTTTACATATTGCGTTTACATCAAAATCATGTACTATAAAAAGACATCAAATGCATGACATTGAAATAGAAAATAATTATATTTAAAATCGGTGAGAAATTGAAAAACATAAAACGACATCGACACAATGCACAAAAGAGTAAAGAGGCCTCAACATTACATGTTGTATTTATAGGACATCTATATACAACCCTAAATGATACATTAACAGGACATCATAAAAACTGGTGTATTACCCTAACCCTAACCCTAACCCTAACCCTGACCCTAACACTAACACTAACCCTGAATTCAAAACAATATAACTAATTAAACTAATGACTAATGAATGAACCTATTGTTTCTTGGGAGGTCTATAAGTTTGCTCTGCCTGTAAACGTAAGGTGAGGTTAGTACTTATATTGTTCAATCATCAACAAGACATAATAATGTATCATGCAGTTGCAAATATAAAGGAAAAATTATTGAGTCATGTATATACACGTATGCCATAAACTACGAAGGCATATTCCATATTGTTAATTGTGTTTTGATATATCAGTAGGACAATATACAATGTTGTACTGTACTTTTTGTATGTATTGGTTATTAGTGTTACTGTCTGTTATTGGTGGTGGAAAGCTTTATTACCACATTAGTGGACACGAATGAATAAATAATCAATTATTATTATTATTGTTATACTATTATCACTATAGCAGTGAAATTCAAGTTGATTAATAGGTCAACGATAATGTGTTAGGATATGAACGATGAAATATGCAAATGAGTTTTGAATATAGACTATGCATAATAAAATAAACATTAAAGCATTGTATTATGTAAGGTTGGATGTTTAGTTAAAAAATTAATAGTAGAATTAGAAGTTAATTAATAGAGTCAGATAATGCAATCTAAGTCAACATTTGTATATAACCATATGAGCAGGGGATGTTTAGGCACATATTAAATGTGGGTCCTGATAAATATAATTATAGAATGCGTTATGTAAACATCAAAGAAGTATAAACAATAAAGAATACCCCCAAAATAGACTTATTTTGTTTGTTTAAAACTAGTCAATTAGCACTTTAAACATTTCTTAACAAAACTAATCCGTCTGATTATTAAAGCAGTTTGGAATTTTGAAGACTGCGCTAAAAGTCTGCCAAATACCAGATAGATTACGCGGTGTCAATTAATACAAATAATAATGCATTAATCCCTTTAATTTACCGGTATATGTTTCCCTTTACCGGTATAATTATTTTTATTATGTTATATATGTTTGTACTCTATATTATGTCAAATATATGTCAATGTTTAGTTTTTATGAAAGTTATGTTTTCATGTATTGCTTGTATTTTTGTGTATCACATTTTTTGATATGTAGTCCTAGAGGGCGTACTTGAAAAGCAGTTCTTTACCAAATGTACCTACCCTCTATTTTAAATAAAACTTGAATAAATAAATAAGTACATAATCGGGAGACAATGATTTTTTTTGTAATCACTTCCCTAAGGAAATGCCAGTGTTTCTAACTGTCTGGGTATACGTCTTTTCATGCTGGATGTCGGGCTGATTGGCATTTAAAAATGTTTTATTTGATGTGTATTTCAAATTGTAGACACCGTGTCGTCCGGAATTCTTTTTTCGAAAGTTGCATTTTATTCTCTCTGCTGAGGTATCAGATTATAGCGATTTTAGAAATATAAGATATGTTTTTTATGTTTCAATGCAGGTGCAAATATAAATGAAAAATTATTGAGTCATGTATATACACGTATGCCATAAAGTACGAAGGCATATTCCAACTTGTTAATCGTGTTTTGATATATCAGTAGCAAAAAAGTAGCACAATATTCTACTGTACTTTTTGTCTGTATTACTAGTGTTATTGCATGTCATTGCTGATGGAAAGCATTATTACTACATTAGTGGACAATAATTAATAAATAGTCAATAATTATTGTTCTTGTTATAAGTAGTATTAGTATTAATACAGCTGCTCCTACGACTATTAAGCAGTGGAATTCAAGTTGGTTAATTTGAACGATGAAATATCAAAATAAGTTTTGAAAATAGACATAGATTATGCATATTAAAATTAACATGAAAGCGTTGTATTATGTAAAGGTGTATTTTTAGTTAATAATTAACTAGTAGAATTAGAAGTTAATCCATAGAATTATATTATGTAATCCAAGTCAACATTTATGTTTAGGCACGTATCAAATGTGAGTCCTTATAGTCCACAATATGTAAACATCAAAGAAGTATGAACAATACAGAATAACCCCCAAATATACTTACTTTGTTTGGTTTAAACTCGTAAATTAGCACTTTGAACATTTCTTAACAAAACTAATCCGTCTGATTATTTAAGCAGTTTGAGAGTTTGCAGACTGAGCTAAAATTCTGCCCCAAACCAGCTTCATTACTATGCAGTGACAATTAATACATACAAATAACAATGCATTAATCGGGAGAATTACTTGTAAAATATAATTGTGGGTATTGACCGGTGAATTATGTTATCATTTTTGTTATTTAGGTTTTATTTCCACATTAACTGCATATGAACAGAATTTACTAAGTAACCCATATACAAGGTAACAAAACATATAAATATATTCGATAGATAGGTAATATTAAAACTATGAAAACGACTTCATACAAGTCTTTAAATACAAAGGATGCTAACTTAATCTACAGTAATGAAGAGGAAACCTTAGAAGCATTGTGCTTGTAAATAAGGTTCCCTTTTTGAGATGGGTACCCCAAGATATTTTCATTTGGTAGTTAGTCAAAAAATTAAACCATTATAATTTTAGTAAAAATACAGTGCTATGAAACTTGTGTATAGTGTTTTAGGCTTCAACAAAGTAGTAAAATTGCAAAATTCTGTTTTAGTTTATCAATAATTTTCGTTTTTGTTTCATTCTTCAGATTCACATTTTTACATAAATCATAAGCAATAAACAACAGGAATGAAAAGAATTGTTCTTTCAATAGGTGTAAAAATACAAACAGTATTTATAATTTATTTGTCGTGAAATATTGGGTAATTCAGTTTTTTTAAAAAGCTATGCTTGTAAATTCTAACTACAAAATTGCATGGTATTTAAACGGAAATTGGACAAATTTACTTGTCGCGAAATATAGGGTAATCTAGTAAAAATCTAAGCTTGTAAATTTTAGATTCCCATGTATCTTTAAGAACAGTCTATTGAGCATAAAGATTATGTTCAATTAAAACTAGAAGGAAAAAAAATGGGGAAATGAGAGAGGCGAAAATAAGACAGAAGAAAGCATTATGTCAGGGAGCCATGGGATGAACTACGTAAATGTTCGAAATGAAAATGTTGAATTTGCTTTTAAGCGGTAGAATAACGAATGCACAGTGAAAGACTACAGTTTCAATGGGTAATAACATATATTTTATGTAAACATTTTTCAAAATATTTGTTTTTGCGTTTTATGGTATGACTTTCTGCAATGAGAAAAATGATCTAAGAAAATTGTCTTAATGTTACTCCCGGCCCCCCCACTCAGGTTTCGGAATGACCGCATGCGTGTTGCCAAAATGTCCGGTAAAGGGGTACTTTTCGTGCGACAAAGTCCGGCCCCGGCCCCCCCACTCAGAGGTCGAAATGACCGCATGCGTGTTGCCAAAATGTCCGGTAAAGGGGTACTTTTCGTGCGACAAAGTCCGGCCCGAGAATTGTAAAAAAAGGGGTGTATTTGACTTTTCACCCGGAGATTTCTTTAAAAAGGGGGTGTTTTTCTTTTTTTCTATCATCTCTTTGGACTCCTGAGAAATTATTCCGAATTTAGGAGGGTACATTGAGCATTTTTCCTGATTTAGGGGGGTCTCCAAAGCAGGAAAAGCCCGCGAAAAGCCCGCGAAAGGGGGGTTCGGAAATGTTGGCAGTCCTCAGATAGGGGGTGCTTTCAAAAAGAGGGTACGAGCATATGCGTACCCTAAATAACACTGAGTGGGGGGGCCGGGAGTCCGGCCCGAGAATTGTAAAAAAAGGGGTGTATTTGACTTTTCACCCGGATATTTCTTTAAAAAGGGGGTGTTTTTTCTTTTTTTCTCTAATCTCTTCGGACTCCTGAGAAATTATTCCGAATTTAGGGGGGTACATTGAGCATTTTTCCTGATTTAGGGGGGTCTCCAAGGCAGGAAAAGCCCGCAAAAAGCCCGCGAAAGGGGGGTTCGGAAATGTTGGCTGTCCTCAGATAGGGGGTACTTTCAAAAAGAGGGAACGAGCATATGCGTACCCTAAATAACACTGAGTGGGGGGGGGGGGGGCCGGGATGTTACTGCATTGTCTTAATATAATCCATCTGCAGTATTTACAATGAAGACCTATCTTTGAAACGTGATTGTTTGAAGTTCAGCGATATTTTATTGAGCTGAAGGAGCGAGATAGAAAAAGGGGAGAAAAATGTAGAGAGGGTGTGAGAGTAGGAAGAGAGTGGAAGAGAGAGAGAGAGAGAGAGAGAGAGAGACAGGCAGACGGAGAAAGAGAGAATAATAGAGGGCAGTGGGTGCGGAGCCGGGGGCAGGTGGTGCAGGGGCACAGTGCCTCCCCTCCACTTTTTCAAGTAGCCTACCCGTAAAGTGCCATGCATGTTTACGAATTTGCTAACCGTAACAAATATCTTGAATACATTAATGAACTTCCATCGACTTGCTAGAAGAATTGACAAATTCCCTGACTTAACTTCCCTGACTATTTTCTTTTGGGAAAAGTAATTTTTAAACTTCCTGGCTTTCAAGAAATTTCCTGATCCGTTTCCGACTCTGATTATTTCCAACATTAGTAGAGATTTCAATTTTCTTTTATTGATTCTTTAAATTTCAATGTTTTATCTTTCACATGGTACCCGTACCTCAACTGTTATGCACAAAGTTGAAAATTTAGTCATCCATTCATCCTGGAAACAAATATCTTGAATTTGCCTCACTTTCATAAAGATAAATCATGCGATTGCATTGTGAAAGAAACGTTGTGGAATCGATCAGAAAAGGTTGATCATCTAGCGTATTGGTGTGTAATGCAAGGTAGGTTCTGGAATCGTCAAAATGATAAGAAATTTGGCCCAGTCTCCGTGATGTTACAAGCACTGTACACAGAAAGATGTCTATGGGACTACGCACACGTGCGTTTATCTCTCATACACCAATAGATAAACTAATTTAACAAATATATCAATTAGTAGGCGGTTTCCCGGCAAAATTTGTATCATCATGTATTAGTCAAAAGATATTCTTTCACATATTTCCATTTAATTTTTTGAAATTGGGGCGTTTCCAATACTGGTCTTTACCTTTAAACGCTTCGCCCACTGAGTTAATTGAACTCAAAGGCAGTTAGACGCGCGATGTGGCAAAACAAAAATCAACCGCTTAGCGCAATTTAACTTTGATTGTTTTTAGCCTTGGAGTATAGTAGGCCTATTAATATAATTATGTGCATGTGCGCTGCATATTGAAATTTTGATTAGTATGTCAAAATTGACAGCAGCATTTTGTTTGTACCTGAAAATAACGTGTTTTTTTTTTTTTTTTATACCACACCACCCCACTCCCCCCCCCCCCCCCTACTCTAAATTGCTTTGTTAAGACAATTCTGGGCGAGTAACTGGCAATTAATTTGGCCTCAATATAAACAAAGATGGAAACAATTTAGATCATTCAAAACCACCGGCGCCATGCCGAAACAACATAAACATCCATAATTAGATTCTCTACTACTGGCCAATTAGATTACCGGTACTGAAGCCAACTTTATCAGCTGGTTGTAAGACGCCGCTTCTTATTGGTCAATTCCGGGTCACTAATGTTTGGCGCTCTATCCTGTGCTGGGAAAATTTCAAAACCACAACAAAGGAAGTCGGAAATAACTGACGAATTCGTGGGATTTTAGGTATGTTTCTACACATTACATGTACCGTTCATTCGACGTGAATGTATAGAATACGTAAGCTGAATTTCCTGTGACAATTTCTGTGGGAAGAGCTGTAATTATCTTCTGTTTTACCGTTCTGTTCTGCGGTGTTTATTGACATTATTACATGTGCTTTGTATTGCAAGATAATTGATTGCCACTGCAGCTGGGACGCCCGGGGATTAGGCTCACTGAGTCAGTTCCCCGCCGCCAGCCCGGCCCGCGCCCGTTCTCGAACTACAACTGTGGCTGTAGGCTGTACTCAATTAAGGATGTATCAGGTTAACGGCGTTAATTAGCTTATAGCTTAGCACTTGCAGGCCACACTTTCCTCTAAATTTATGCAGACTGTTTCTCAAACACTTGTACAATATCAAATCTGGGTCAATTTCAGTGTTGCTAGCACTGCACTGCACTGCACCTAGACTAGAGTCTACTCTGCCTGTGCCTGTGTCTGTTGATGTTGCTCTGTCTGTGTATGTGTCATTGTGTGGCTCTGAAATAATCTGACTTTCTGTAGATCTAGGCTAAAACAGCTAGTGAGCTATAGTATAAAGAGTAATGAAGGGCAAGATTTAGAAATGCACACAAATTCGCAATGACATTGAACCATGAATATGAATGATGAAGGCGAAACAGCATTTTGCCAGGAGTAACGATAGATTTCCGATTTAAATTTTAAGTAGGTCTAGACCTATTCTTTTAATTGGTAAATTGTTGAATTTAATTTTTGAAATTTAGTTGTCAATGATCTAAAAAGTAAAGACTGAAATGCTGATTTTGAATGAAATCTGGTGATTTTTGGACAGTGGTTTTAGAGGTTTGAGCCTATGCGAGGGTGCCTTCTCTTTAAATTTGTTCCTACAAAATATACATGTACATGTATATGCTCCTAGTGGTTATGGTCTGGCATCCTCAGGCACGTATGCAATACATAAAGGGGGTTATTTGGGGGGTTAAACCCCCCCCCCCCCCCCTCAATTTTGCTCAACCCCCCCCCCCCCCCTTCCCCCACAAAGCGAAATATCCGTCAGCGCGATTTCCAAATTTTAAAACACCTTCCTTGACAAAATCCTGGGTATCCTACACACATGTCCGAAATATGTTTTCTGATTTTTTTTTTTTCTCTCTCTCACAGTTTGATCAAGATTGGTGCGTGGCAGTGATGGAAGTTTCATCCTGTGATCAGATGGGGCTGCCGAGGCCGAGCTGGGACATGAGCAAGACATTCTTTGGAATGTATGGGACTAAGAGAAAATCAACGTTCTCCCAAGCTGAGGAACCGCATGATCAGGTACATAGCAACAGTGTTGCTCCCTCTTTCATAGCTGCCAATCATTCCTATTTTGGAGGAATGATTCTTCTTATGAAAATTAGCGCAAATTAAGCGTACCTTGCCTTGAGCGCGTCTAATATTGGACCTCTGGCTGTGTTGCGCTTAATTTATGCTAATTTTAGACCATGGGTTATGTAAATGAAGATTTAAACCATGGGTTAAATTTTAAAATCCTTAGTGAATTCGGCCAACAACCTTCCCATGTGCTTGCAGACAGTTTGTTTTACAACTTAATCAGATAACCATGCAATTATTTGCTATATAGGTCAGCATAATTCTACTTCCGTTTCTCACATCTATTAATCTGTCTGTCTTTTTTACTTTTTGTCTGTGTTTCAGTCCTGTTGCTCATAGTATATTCCTGTTTCCTCTTGTTTATAACCATTATTTAGTAGTCAGTAGATTGTATTGTTCTTATTTAAATGTTTATATTTTCTCAGTTGTTTAGTTAGTTTAGTTTGTAAGCATTTAAATGTACACATTATTCTTATCTGACGAGTTTGTTCTTTTTTGGACATACCGTACTCATAAGCTACTCATGAGGGACCTTAAATCCACAAGCCTTGCTTTCAACCAAGGTCACCTCATCTTTCTATTGTAATGCCATATTCTGTTCACTTGTTATATTCATGTCATATTTCTAATGTGTGTTAAATGAAAGAAAGATAGATAAAAAAAACTTGAAACTTAACTCCTTTCTACCCCATAGTTTTGTCCAGTTGCAAAGAAGATGTGTTCACCGTCGGACCTTGCGGTGGGTTAAGGAAGATTTAAACCATGGGTTAAATTTAAAACTCCTTAGTGAATTCAGGCCAACATCTATATACTTCATCATTAACCTTCCTATTTGCTCGAACACAGTTTGTTTTGCAACTTAATCAGACAACCACAACTCATGTTTACCTCCCAGTTTTGTCCAGTTGCAAAGAAGATGTGTTCACCGTCGGACCTTGTGATGGGTTAAGGAAGATTTAAACCATGGGTTAAATTTAAAACTCCTTAGTGAATTCAGGCCAACATCTATATACTTCATCATGAACCTTCCTATTTGCTTGAACACAGTTTGTTTTGCAACTTAATCAGACAACCACAACTCATGTTTACCTCCCAGTTTTGTCCAGTTGCAAAGAAGATGTGTTCGCCATCAGACCTTGCGATGGACGATGATTGCCTTCCAGAGACATCTTTCCCAGCCATCACCCATCAACCATCGAAGCACCAAGTACCTCACATGTCACCGTCACTTCACCAACGCCAGAGTGACCACACGGGACCAAGGGTAGAACCCCAACCGAACAATCAGGGAGAAGGTCCAAAGTGGCTCTCGTGGCAGGGGGGCCGGCTGGCGAGCTGGTCGGCCGTGGCGCGGTCCTGCAGGGGCGGCGACGACGCCCAACTGGACAGAGAGGGGTGGGGCCAGGGGGAGGGTGGACGTGGTCAAGGGGGCGGGGCCGAGAGGCTGGGGTCGGGGTCAGGTCAGGAGGCATTGCTGAGTAACCCCAGGGTGGAGATAGATCAGGATTCAAACAGCTGCTGGCAGACTCCTCAAAACCTTCGCAAACAACTAGAGGTTAGTTGGCAGTGTAAACAAACATGTTTTTGTTCACAGGGGTTGTTTCAGGATTTCATGTGGTGAAAGGGCTATATTTTCAGTGATATTTATCATGTTTGAGAAATTTATTGTTATATATTCCCAGAGCCATTTCAGATTACCAGAGCTACATGTACATGTATTTTGGAGCTTTCAAGAGCTGAATTGCTCACAACTTGAGTGTAATTTTTTTTGCTGTTAGGTGGTTGTTATGGTTCCAAGAATCTGTTCACATTTTATGGATAACCTCAAAGCTTTTTCATTGAAAGCACAAATAAATACACCAGGGGGGGGGGGGGGGGGGGGAGTGTTTCACAAAGACAAGATCGACCTTGCTTTCTACCTTTATTGACTAAAAGTGGACATTCATGCCACTGGTTGCTCTCGCCATTATGATCTTTAGATTTACATTTCTTCCTTCGATAATGAATTACCGTATTTGCCATCAATATCAAAAAGTCGGGTTGCGGCCTTTACGGCGAAAGAGTAAAAAAAATTTTTAAAAACGAAAGTCAAAACCAGCACGAATTTGCACATATGGGACTACATACGGTAAAATAACTATAGCACTCTGGTACAGGACATTTCAACACATCTTACCGACAATTTTATCTTGCATTGTTGACATGAAGACGAAAAATAACTTCCTAAAACAACATTTGCCGATATATCTTGATCTAAGTTAGTGCCAATGCATTGCAAAAGTAAAGTAAGGGACCTTTTAACGGAGCTGCCGTGAAGCATCCATCCGAAGTTGCCATTTTGTTTTTCCATTTCATGCAATTTTGCTTTACACCGTACATTGTGGTAGGGGTATATCGGACACCAAATCTGCCTGCGATCACTTTTTTAGCTAAACTTCCAGTAAATTATAAGAATATTGATGAATTTGGTATTAGTTTGTAAAAAAAAAATAGTGTTTTCAGAGAAAATTACGATTATTTTGTTTTGTCTGTTTTTTTGTTTTTTTTTCCTCTTTGAAATGTCAAACTTGGGGTGTGGCCTATGCGGCAGTGCGGCCTTATCGCTGGCAAATACGATATCCAAAATTCTGTAGATATGTGACTATGGTTTGTACATTCCTTGAGAGACCAACGCTAGTAAATGGTAAGAGCAAACAGTGGCATGAATGGCCTGCTAGGTCAAGTCCAACTTAAAGTCAATCTTGGTCTTTGTGAAACACCCCCCCCCCCCCCCCCCCTGGGCTCATAAACATTAAACCTTTACTAAGCTAGTTGTCGACTAATAAGTGGGCAACAAGGTTTAACCCTAAAAAGACCAGGTGTTTGGGGTGCACTCTCTGCTGAGGGGGTACTAGGGGTGGATTCCATCCCACCCCGGGATCTCAGAGATGGAGTGATGAAAAGATTCTGAAACTCGACAGAGAGATAGAGTATCTCATAATTGAATAAACAAATGAAGTTTCATAACCATATCTCAAAATGTATTTGAATTATTGCTTATGGACTAATAGTCATTATTCACATATCTGCAAATTGACAATTCTGCATTGTGTACAGTACGAATTGTTGTATTGAGAAATGTTCATTTTGTCCTTGGGCAGCACCACGCTGTACCTGTTGGTCGAAATGTTATCAATTTGGTATAGAAAGATGCATGTGACTAGGCAATAAAGTAAGTAAAGCGCACGATGCAAAAGAAAAATCCCTTGAACATATTGTATCTCTTTTCTTTTAATTTTTTCCAGAAACAAATTAGAACTCCTGAGCTAGAGCACGCAAGGCAGGAATCACTTCGAGCCAAAGCAGATAAACTACAATCACAACTCCATTACATGAAGGTAAGTCTGCATAAATAAATAGAGGCGTCATTGTCGAATGGTTTAATTCTTGACTCAACCAGAGCTGCCAACCATTCCGTTTTTGCCGGAATTACTCTGTTTTTTCCTCCAAATTACGGTATTACGTTTTTTCTTCATAAAATACGTTTTTTTAATAATTTTTTTTTTTTTTTTTTTTTTTTTTTCCCTTTTACATACCGCACATCAAACAACTGCCCTAAAATGGTGAAATGATCACAAATTAAATAGAAAACTAATTTTAAAACATAGTTAAAGAGAAAAATATTCTCAAAAAAAATGAAATGCCGATAATACCAAAATAACCTCCAAAAAAATTACCTGCTTGTATGGAAAAAACAGCATGATGAATGAACATTTCTGCATTGGAAGCGTGTTGCACGTGGTTGTAAGTTTCGTTTTCATGAATTCCTTTTTTTTTGCCATCATGATTCCTTTTTTTGGTCGCACAAGGTTGGCAGCTCTGCTCAACAAGGAAAGATCTTGGGTTTGAGCCCTCGGTTGTGATACTGGTATATGTCCACCTATCCACCCAGGGGGTGTTTCACAAAGATCCTAAGTTTAACAATTATGGAAAGCAATTAGCATCTATGAAAATAATTTGTAAAAATTATTTTAAAGGATATAAAATATTGATTCAAATCATTCATATTTACTATTATATCCCTTCTATGAATATTCATGAGTTTTCTAAATACATGATTGGTCAATTGGTGGTCACGTAATAAAATATAATTTCACTATTTGAAACAAATCTCTGTCAGAGCTCCGAATGTTTTCCACCATTTTTTCATAGGCAGAACTGCGCATGCTCTATGAGATTTTAAGGTAGAAAAGCATTGTGACGTCACATCATGTTCAGTCAAAAATAATGCGCAATTAGCGCGTCTCATTAAATGCGCGTTAATATAATTGTGCGCAGGTTAAATTGACAAATTCAAACTGATTATAAACTTCTCCAATACCGCCGGCCCAATGTGGGTGACATAAGAATAAAGATAAAAACCATAATGCCAGCCAATCATTAATCAAACGTTCGGAACGTAACGAAGTGATATAAAACAAATATACCAAGCATTTAGTTTGTAAGAATAGTGGAAATTATATATCTTTGGAGGGACTGCAATAGTTACTATTTCTTCAAAATAGTACTTTGCCAGTCCCTCCTCAGTTAAATAATTTCCACTATTCTTTCTCACAGCTTCGTATATTTGTATATTATCAAGGATATTTCTTGTTCTTGATGTGGAATTTATTAAAAGTAAAAAACACTTCAATATTTGCTTTTGAATATATTTTATTTTAAGGCTACAAATGGCTCTCCATAACTTTTAAGTCCCACTTAGAGTTAGGTTCGATCAAGGATCTTTGTGAAACACCCCCCTGGTGATAAATAAATAAAAAATGGTAGGATGCAAGGGTCCATGGTTTTCTGATTGCTTAATAGATATGAATAAACACTAAATGAATGGACTAAATAGTTATTTTTAATTTGTTTAAGAAAATCTCTTGATTTCAAGTTGGTACAATATAAAATTTTCTGTTTACAAAATAATATCTTTTATTGTGTGTTGGTTTGGTGTATTGTATTATTATTTCTTCATTGCAACCAAAAGTTGAGGTTTGATTTCGAATATAGGTACAAGCTAGATAGATAACGATGATAAATAAATAATGTACACAAATTCAAAGAAACTGTCCGATAGTCTGATATGTAAATATATGAATACAGTCCTGTCTATAGCGACCGCCCAAGGGAAACACAAAAGGTGGTCTTTGAAGGCAGGCACTAGTGCTTTGTAGGCAGGTGGTCTTACCTTTGTAGACAGGTAGTCTTTCCTTTGTAGGCAGGTAGTCTATGAAGGCAGGGGGTTTTTCCTTTGTAGGCAGGTAGTCTACATTAGGGCTGTGCACAACAGTGTAATGAGGTACCCGAGTACACTCACAGGCGAATACTCGAATATTCGGACGCCATGTTTTTTTATAATTTTTTTGAATTTTTTTGATTTTTTTTTAATTTTTGGATTTTTGGATTTTTTTGATTTTTTTTCTTTTTTTGCCACTACCATACCACTCGGCAGTTTCTCAGGTCCCTCGCTGAAAACGCATGCAACTTTACTTTGAGTTGCATTTGAAGGCGCCGATTTAATAAGAATAATAACAGTAAACAATGCTGTTTTAAAAACCAAAGATGGCAGAATAATCCATTTTCCTCCCAGTCCAAACAGAAATCTGGACATTTGGTCCCAGTTTCTGAAAGGTGAGTTTGACAGTGCTTGAGTTGGGAAACATTTTTACCGACGGTACCATGCCAGCGGACGCCGCTCTCCCTGGCACGGGTAAGCGTGGGCCTGGACATTTTTTTTTTTTTTTTTTTTTTTTTTGCGGCCGAATATTCGGGTACAAGAAATCGTACCCGAGTAGTTGTCAACCGTGCGGGTACTCGAGCATTCGACTACCCGTCGCAGCCTTAGTCTACATGTATGAAGGCAGGTGGTCTTTGTAGGCAGATGGTCTTTCCTTTGTAGGCAGGTGGTCACTAAAGCAGGTTTGACTGTATATGATTAACATTATGCAATGCAATGTAACGTTTTCTTTCAGTCCATGGAGGTAGAAAGCAACGACTACTGGGCGCTCCCACAGGAGAACAGCCTTAAGATGGAAGATGACCTGGAGCAGGCGCGGATCGCTATGGAGTCAGACTACGTACCAGATCCCTACCAGTATCACTGTAGTGATATACCTGTACCGATGGCTGGGTGAGTTACAATGATGATGGTGATGATGGTTGTGATGATGATGATGGTGATGATGGTGATGGTTGTGATGGAGTCCCACTACGTACCTGATCCCTACCAGTATCACTGTAGTGATATACCTGTACCGATGGCTGGGTGAGTTACAATGATGATGGTTGTGATGGTGATGATGGTGATGATGGTGATGGTTGTGATGGAGTCGGACTACGTACCTGATCCCTACCAGTATCACTGTAGCGATATACCTGTACCAATGGCTGGGTGAGTTACAATGATGATGGTGATGATGGTTGTGATGGTGATGATGGTGATGATGGTGATGATGGTGATGATGGTGATGATGGTGATGATGGTGATGATGGTGATTATGATGATGGTGGTGATGATGATGATGGAGTCGGACTACGTACCTGATCCCTACCAGTATCACTGTAGTGATATACCTGTACCGATGGCTGGGTGAGTTACAATGATGATGGTGATGGTGATGGTTGTGATGATGATGATGGTGGTAGTTGTCATTGTGATGGTGATGATGATGGTGATTATGATGATGGTGATGATGATGATGATGGTAATGGTTGTGATAATGGTTGTGATGGAGTGTGACTCTGTACTTGACCCTTACCATTATCACTGTAGTGATATACCTGTACCGATGGCTGGGTGAGTTTCAATGATGATGATGATGATGAGGAGGGTTGTGATGGTGATGGTGATGATGATTGTGATGTTAAATGTGAGCAAAACAAATTTCCAATATTGGACATTAAATTGAAATTGAAATTGAATTGATTGAATGATGATGATAGTGGTGATGATGGTGATGGTTGTGAATGGTGATGATGGTTGTGATGGTGATTGTGATAAATAATGAGGATGGTGATTGTGATGATGGTGATGATGATAGTGAGGCAGTGAAGATGATAGCAATGAGAGTAGTTTTCATTGGCCTCGTGAGTTTTGTTGATGAAAATGTTCAATGTTGGTGATGATGGAAGAGAAGGGTGAGGGGAGGAGTTTTAAAAAAAGTAAGAATGAAAACGAGGGTAGGAGGAGAAGAAGGAGCTGAATAGTGAGGAGTATTAAAAGAAGAGGAAGAGAAGGAGGAAGAGTAGAGGAAAATAAGGTAAGGAGGGCAGGAGAGGAAAAAGAATTAAATAGATAAAGAATGACGATGAAAAGATGAAGAACGAGACAACGGAGAATATGATTACAGTTTTGAATACTGTAACAAAAATCTACTTGTTGAACAATTTCAGGTGTAAATGTTGGTCCCATTTTTCAACTTTCAAACATAAAATGCACAACAAACTCACCAGAAAAACATTACTTTACTCTATGTACCACGTTATACGTCATGAAATAATCCCTCTCTCTTTCTACCTGTTTTCCAGCCATGATGCAGGTACGGTTAACCAAGTCCGATGTTACTGCAAGCCAAATTGGGAGGGGATGCTGGATCCTGTGGGGTATATATGACACCCCTCTACCGGCCCCGCCCGCCCCTATCGGTCTCACTTCCCTCATACTTTCCAATGAAAGGGATTTGATTTGTGTCAATCCGTAGATGTAGAGTCCTAGACACGCAAGCCAAAGGATCTAGTGGGGTGTACATGACAACCCTCTACCGGCCCCGCCCTCCTTCCGTTTCACTTCCCTCATACTTTCCAATGAAAGGGATTTGATTTGTGACAATCCGTAGATGTAGAGTCCTAGACACGCAAGCCAAAGGATCTAGTGGGGTGTACATGACACCCCTCTACCGGCCCCGCCCGCCCCTATCAGTCTCACTTCCCTCATACTTTCCAATGACATACCTGCCAACCACCCCGATTTAGGCGGAGTTTCTCCGCATTTTTCATACCAACTCCGAATTCCGAGTGCATACCTCAAAACTCCGATTTTTTTTAATTTTAATTTTTTTTAATTTTATTTTTTTAAATTTTTTTTATTATTATTATTTTTTTTTTAATAATTTTTTTTAAAATTAATATTTTGTGTGTGCGCCCGCCATTTTCAATGGCAAAATGTCCATTCTGTCCTGTAAAGTATCCTACAAGCATCTCACATCAGCAATTTGGGGATGTTTATTCATACCTGCGTATAGCCCATGTGTATTTATATTACATGTGCAGTTGATACGCCGTGCATAAACACTGTATACATTGGCGTGTTTTCTTCAATGCTTGTGCGATGACTGCGATCGTGGAAGCTTGTTATTTACCGGACTTCCTCGGATTTATTTTGGATTACTACTACTATATACCTTTGCAAAATAGGGCTCCTAACTGAGGTGGGTAGTGAAACATGTAGTTTTGTGAGTGTTCACATTTCAAAAATTGTTTATGTGTGGGGCGAAAAGGTTGAAGGAAAAGGCCCATTTGCACCATTAAAATGGAGAGAAAAAAAAATAGACCCTAAACTCTAGTGGGGTGTATATGACACCCCTCTACCGGCCCTGCCCACCCCAATCTGTCTCACTTCCCATATACTTTCCAATGAAAGGGATTTGATTTGTGTCAATCCGTAGATGTAGAGTCCTAGACACGCAAGCCAAAGGATCTAGTGGGGTGTACATGACACCCCTCTACCGACCACGCCTGCCCCTATCAGTCTCACTTCCCTCATACTTTCCAATGAAAGGGATTTGATTTGTGTCAATCCGTAGATGTACGGTCCTAGACACACAAGCCAAAGGATCTAGTGGGGTGTATGTGACGTCCCCTCTACCGGCCACCTTCTTTCTCACATTGTGACAATTTCTAAACGATTGGCAATCCATACGTAACATAATATTTGGGGGAATCGTTGGTGCTCTTGTGGGGGTCGTTCGCATGCCCTTGGCATATGATCAAAGAAATTGGTACACGTCTCTCAAATTTTTGATAGTGCTTTGCCAAAATGTATCAGGCAGCATTAGATTTCTTTGTAACAGCACAAGTAAATTAGCACCTTTTCCATGGGTAGGAACCCAACCTGTTTCATCCCTAACAGAAACGAGATTAAACAATTTTTGTTGTTTTTGTGTTTCTTGTAAAGCGACCCATAGCTGGCATTTGTCAAAGTAATTATCTTTATATGAACTTTTAAAATTGTGCCTTTATAATTGCCTCTGTATATGCTGTGCCACTTTGTTTCTATCACAAGATAGATATACCAAAGGCTTCAAGATTATTTTACTGTTTGCAGCGCAAGATTAATCTATGCCGGTGTTAAAAAGGTTGTCATAAGCTAATAAAGACCATATTGGTAATTTATCAAAGCCATTGTGTAGCACAAAGCAACCCTCTCTCCATTGCTGCTTATTGTATTGTGCAGAAATGTTTGTGTGGCAAACTTGCAACTGTACAGAGAGGCGACCAAAGCAACCAAAGTGTTAAACATTCCACATATAACTGATAAATAACTTAATTTTATCAGGTAGAAAAATGGAAGGGCTTAATCCTTTCAAGGTACTTCAGAACACTTAATGAGTGATGAAGGAAAAATTAATTCCAAAGAGCTGGACTGCATATATATATATAAATTATATATTTCTGGAGTGAAACATACCGGTAGATCTAAAACATGATTTTGTAGATTATCCATGGAATTTCATTTTTTGCAGAACTTGAAGACATAATTTATCATTTAGTGTGTTGAAAGACAAATTTTCCTTTCCTCAAAAATATAATTGTGTTTTAACACGCTAAATGATGAATAATTGCTTTAACACTAAAAGTGATGGGTTTATACTACTCTCTTTTTTGCCCCAACCTCATTAAATGATCATTACAAGATCAAGATAAATTGTCACAAAATTGCACAGCTAACACTTACATACATAGTTTGATTTTTCACATACAGTAACAACTAGCTTATTCATACCCCTGTAAATTTGATGTTTTTTGTGTATTTCATGAAAGGAACATGGATTAGTGGAATTAGGGCCTTTATCGATACTTTTAAATGTAAATATGTCACATTCTCAATAAATACAAATCTATACAAATCGGGACAAATCAAATTTTTACATACTTATTGATAATAGTAAATTAAAAATCTTGGTAATGTTATGAATAATTTAGTTGTTGACTGAATTATTGATTTAGAAATGTTGAGATATATTTATTGTTAGATACTGCCTTGCAGGTTACATGTTGGGTATTTCGCTGAACCATTGTTTTGAGTTAGTTTGTTAATATTTACCGGTATAGTATTGAATGGCCTCGAGTGGGGTACAATATAGGAAATTGAAAGAGCTTTCTCGCAACCCTTTGCATGAGGTATTGACACAAACGTTATCGTCCTTCAGGTGCTTTTTGAAAACCATGAGGTGCCGTTTTTGAAAATTTGCATGGTTATCAGTGTACTTTTGCTCAAAGCGTAAGATACATCGTTATTTTCTTCTCTAGTATTTATGTATTTATTTGTTTGCTTCGAGGTGTACGTTATAGGCAAAAGTAAGGTTATTCTGTTGCCAATTTTTCGAAGACAATAAATGGAATATTATTATATATTTCTCGATGTCTCTTTAGTATGCTTTGGCAAGAACCAGTGTGGGTCTACAAGGTTTCCTAGAGGTTTAAAGGCTTGCTAGAGGTGTATCTAACCAAGCAATAGTTGATGCGTGTAGATTTGATATGTGAAATGTTGTTTGGAGCAGCAGAATGTAATTTTCTGTGAGCCTTTTGATGATGGAAGTGTCACGTTTGAATAAGCAGCCTACTGGTAATTCTTTACGTATTGTGTATTAATCGCGGTAGAGGTTTACGGTACACCATGTGTGAAGTCCTAGAAGGACTAAGGAAAGTGGATAGAAAATAGAAGTGAAATAGAAAGGCGAGAAAGTGGAGGTTGGAAGGAAGAGTATCTTTCGGAAGTGAGTATAGTCCTGAAAAGGACTGTAAACCAGAAAGTTGTAGATAGGATGAGAGGTTTGAGTAGAAGACTGGATTGAGTTGGAGAGTTGAGTAGAGTTGCAGAGCAGGAGCAGGAGAGTAGACTCGACGTTTCGGACAGGTTGACTGTCCGTCTTCAGGAGTCTTCAGGGTCTTCTCGCCTTTCTATTTCACTTCTATTTTCTGTCCACTTTCCTTAGTCCTTCTAGGACTTCACACATGGTGTACCGTAAACCTCTACCGCGATTATTCATACCACCATGCAAACCTTCAAACATCATCTGTTTTGTGTATTGTTGAATATTTAATGTGTGGGGTGATTTTTCTTTTTTACTTGTAGCATAGTGTGGACTAAAGATGGTGCTTTATTTTCTAGCTATACTCTGTATATATGTATTTATTCATGGAATGCATATACCTATCTGTATGCATGGCAATCTTTATTGCAAGAAAAATAATAAATATGGATTAAAGGAATATAGATTCCTTGAGAAGAAAAATGGATATGACTTGTACTAAACTTGTTTGTTTTGTTCTTATATTTTTCTTCCTGATTTTTCCCTTATTTTATCTATGGTACGGTATTCGTCCCTATTATTTCCCAATTTTTCTTACTCAAAAGGGGGGAATGTTGTTAAATGCAATTTTTTTGCCCCGAATCCTCTTTTCTTTTTTTTTTACTCAAGGGGGGCGTGGTTGATTCTCTAAATGTAGCCAATTTGCATTTGCAATGTGTAATTATTCATGGTATAATGTAATACTGAACATGATTAGCAGCCAGTTGCTAAATTTAAAAGATATATATATAATATAATATTGCAAATCATAAAAATATAAAAAGTTACAAACACCAGATGATAAGCAGGGTACACAGCCCATTGTGGTTTAAATAATTAAAAAAAAAAAACATAAATCGGACAAATGTAACTTCTCTTGCAACACAGGTTTTCCTATTATATAAATGCGTCTGGATTTTTAAATTTTCTGTGGAATATTGGAATTTGTGCCCAAGATTAATAATTACTATAACAATTTGGTTTATATAGCGCTCAATACACTTTCGATGTGTCCAAGCACTTTAGAGATGATCCCATTCTTATTATATTCATCAAGACTGGACTTGATTTGAGCTGGGGTCCTTTCCCTCCAACACCATCTCTTCTTCTTTTCTGTACTCTCGTTTTTCTTTCCATACTCTCGCTTTCTTACTGGACTTCTCTTTTTATTTTCTATAAACTTCTACTCCCTCAAACCCTCCCCTTTTCTCTCCCTTCCTCTCTTTTATCATCTCTCTTTCTCTCTCTCTCTCTCTCTCTCTCTCTCTCTCTCTCTCTTTTCACTCTTTTACACCCCACTCTCTCTCTGTGGCACTTTAATATGTCCAGATGATTACAATCAAACTTTTTTCATTCACTTAACCTCGCTCTGAACCTATTTGACATGAATTATGAATCTAAGCGCACAAAATGTCAGAAATAACTTCTCTTTTAATGCTAAATAAATCAACAAATCAGCACAATATTCACAATCTCATTACTACAATACAAAAATCAACTTTCTCTATTACTTCACAATTTACATGTAACTTAGTCATTCTGAGTACATATATCAAAATAAAACATCAAATGACAGTCTCTGCTGTTCTGTGCCTTAATCTTGGTTATCAGTGCCTAGAGTGTGAACAAATATAAAATGACAAAATTATACCACCAGTTTTTTACATGAATATTCATCAGATTAATATGCATGAACAACCAGTCTTTCACATGAATATTCATCAATTAATATGCATGAACAACCAGTCTTTCACATGAATATTCATCAGGTTAATATGCATGAACAACCAGTCTTTCACATGAATTTTCATCAGATTAATATGTATGAACAACCAGTCTTTAACATGAATATTCATCAGATTAATATGCCTAAAATGTAGAATCACATATTTATACACAAAGAGAAAACTAAGCAGTCTTTTACATGAATATTCATCAGATTAAATATGCATGAGCTTTCCAAAATTAACTACAATGCATCAAAGTTAATAAATCTGTAACAATTCCATGGAATAATATTCTGCACTTGCCTTCACCTCAAAGTAGATCAGTTCATGTATATACTCGAACTTTAGGCATAATGCCTGCACAATAGTGACCTAAAATGACTCAAGAGCTTGCTAGAGGCCTGCCTGACCTAGACCAAACTAATGCTTGATTATAAAGTGAACAAAATTTGGGTACATGCCCTTCTACTTGTATTATATGAAGGATCAACATTTTGTTAAAGTCTCTACAAGAACCCATTATTATCATTGTTGTTGTTGTTAATATAAACATTTATGGTTGTTATTATTATTATAAACATTTGTGGTAATTAACTTGTCAATTAGCTGAGACATAATATATGCGTGGCAAGAAAATATTTGTATAAATTCTGAACTTTCATTAACTACGTACAATGGCTCAATTACGGGTGCTTAGAGTATGCAAAAAGAAAAGTAAAATAAAGAAAGAACTTCTCAAATTTCTTGATACTATGAATTCACTATACAATTCAATTTAAAAATCAGCGAATGGAATATATTGATCGACAAATAAATACAAGATGAATGAATAAGTACATTTGTACAACTGAAAATAAGGAACGAGGATAAGACATGCAAGGGAGTATGAAAATAACGAGGAAATAGAGGTTAACAGATAGCAGAAAGTTAAAGAAGCAACAAGTACATGAGACATGAGAAAATCAATAACATTTTTACAAGGTAACTGTTCTCGAGAGGTAGTTTGTTCTTTAAATTCAGGGGGAAATATATAGAAGAATGAATTGAATTACACATTTTGTATAATAAACTTTTTTTTTAAATATACATAATGGTCTAACACACAATATACACAAGGCAACATGCTGCTAAGTAGTAGGAAATAGACCACTGTGTAGATGGAACAATATTACAATATTTGTTATTAAAGACAACCCCAACAAACAAATAGTGAATTCAATATTTTTTAATAATGAATGCAACATTTTTCAGCAAAACAATCCAATAATCAATTAACATAATATGTACATGCATATGGAAAAATAAAGAAAACATGTACACCAATTCTTTACAAGTAAGTATAATCTTTGACCCTAATCTTTGTCAAATACACTTTTCCATCTAACAGGGCTCTTTGTGAGCAGATGAGATACAAGCACACATTCCCTCCCTGGTCCTTTTTCACATGCAAACAAATATATTTTGGGTATTTTCTAAATATATTCCAATGGTATTTCCTTTGAAAAAAACTTGTCTATTGTTATATTTTTCTCATGGGGGGGAAAAAGAGAGGAAAATGGACACAATATTTGTTTTGCTCAAGATTTGGAACAAAAGATAGACAAATTAACTGTATGACCAAGAGAAATTATACGATATTGAATATTCTACATAAAATGAAGTCACAATTAAATTTTAATGTGGTTAAACATCACATTATTTCTTTTTGCTCTGTAAAAATAATTTCATGAAACTTTGATGATAGTGCACTAGAAAGAACAAAATATAAATGCTAGATTATACAGAATTTACAGATGTTCTTTTATCAGTTATGAATTACATGTAAATATTTAAGCATATTATTCTACAGAAAGATACACATTATTGTTACAGATTGTTATTGACATTTGCTGGAAACTGCGATTTTTATTGATTTCTACATTCAAATCTTATTTTTGAGTGTCTTATATGGCACAACGCTAAATATGTAAAATGCTTCCTTTTTAGATAATTGATCAGTAGCTTCCATGTAGCATATCATGTAAATCAAAGCGCTTGCCCCCTGTTCATGTAAAATAATCGGTCTCGACTCGTAAATGTAATCTTAAATACTAATCTCAATGTCTATAAAACACTTTTCAATAATGTCAGGGAAATATTATTATCACAGCATCCACAGTGAACATTACACTATCCTGGGGAGCACAATTATGTTACTTTTATGCAGCAATTAAGGAATTTTTATGTTACTTTGCGTCAGCTTGGCACTTTTCACTTCTCTTGAATATCTCAATATCATAGCTAGACCTTCGCCTCTAAAACAAGAACAAGAACACAAAACTCAAGAAGCCATTTTAATTAAGGGCTCCAACCTTAAATTCTTTTCTTTTTTTGCGTCACAAAGGAAAATTGAATTTTCAACATATAAACCAACAATAACTTTCCTTTAAATCCTTTACACTTTAATGCTTCCTACATCTATATAAAGATAAACATATACATGTAAATGGTGTAGTATGTATTTCAAATTTGGCTACATTCAATACATTGTAAGTATTTATCTTAGCCAGAAACCTAGTAAAATACTCTCATTGCTGACATATGCATTGGATTCAATACCAGCACTGGTGCTTATGGCCATCAACCCTTTGGTTGAATGTCAATGACGGGTCCAGGACCAGTCTTACAAAGAGTTACGATCAATCCAAATCAATCGTAAGTACTCCAATCAATCGCAAGTTTGCAGTCTCCTATCTATATAATTGCGATTGACTCTTTGTATAAAGACGGGGGGGGGGGGGGGGGGGGGGGGGGGGGGGGGGGGGGGGGGGGGGGGGCCTGGATTACGATGTAGTTCAAATCTTGAGAAATGCAACCACCAACTTCCGAGACCCATTGTTACATCATGAAATTGTCCTCTCCGAGCTTTGACTTCCATATGTTTCTCCAGATGTTCTCACTGAAGGAAAGTCTTGTCTTAAAGGTCGTACTCTCGGATTAAACACATATGGTTAAAAGAATTAGTTTCACTTCAGGGTGTCGACAGCACCCCTGTAAATTGTCCTCTCTGGACATGGAGTTGTAGATTTTTTCCGACAGAAGGAAAGTCTTGTCGCATAGGTTGTAATCTCGGATAAAACATGTACAGTGAAGGAATTGGTTTCACATCTTCAGGGTGTTTGCTGCTCCACGGTAAATTGTCCTCTCCGACCTTGGACTTCCAGATGTTTCTCCAGATATGCTCGATGAAGAAAAGTCTTCTCACATGGGTTGTACTTCGGGATAAAACATGTAAGATGTAGGAATTGGTTTAAAGCAAGGATTCACTTGACCTATTGACCCTTCAGGGTGTTGACTACACCTGTATATTGTTTATTCCTGGAGTGCATTTCAAGATGCCTCTTCAGGTGCTCGTAGCGGAAGAAAGCCTTGGGGCATTCGCTGCACTGGTAGGGTTTCACGCCACTGTGTGTTATCATATGCCGGGCAAGGCGTCCCGGGATCACCTTCTCGCAGATATGGCACCAGTTGGGCTTAGATGGCGCCGCCTCGCTCGGTGGCGGAGTGTCCGCCGTGATGCCTAGTTCAACTGAGACAAGAAAAAGCAAAAAACCCAATTATTTGTCACCATAATGAGTTGTGATATTCAGGTAATAAAAGGAAACAGGGGCTGTTTGTCATAAGGCCTACAAAAAAAAAGATGTTGTGTTGCCCTTGGCAACTGACCCAAAAATCTTAAAATTGATGCTCAGCTTTTTGATTTTTTTTTACCGTTTTTTAGAGAAACAAAATATTAAAGCATTTAAAAGTGAGAAATATCAGCCCAAAAAGGGAGAAAAAAAATATATAAAAAGTTTTAAAAAATAAAAAAATCCTGACCGACCGACCCATGTTTTGGTACCTAAAGGACAATAAAACATCTTTTTTTTAGGCTGAACTGTCATAACAGCCGAAAAGGATACCTCATTGAAACAGGTGTTTTAGAATAACTGACGTTTCAATGAGATAAGGACACTTTGAAAACCCAACACACACAAGATGCGTTTAGGTACCATGCATCCTTTTCCTTTAACTTTACCTAGGTAATGTGAAAACTGAATAAATTTTTGGAAGTGACCTTATACATTATTATGAACAAACGAATCTGAACAGCAATATATTGTATTGCTTGAAATAAAGTAGACACATAAATAAACACCAAGTCACACCGAAGTCTATGGAATAATACATGCAGTTATGCATGACACTGTGTTAGAGTGTCTACTTTATTTCAAGCAATACAGTACGGATTTGTAGGTTCATAATAATGACAAAGATAAAAGCTTTACACAAGACTTTTTTTCAAGTGATTGGTCACCTCTGCATTTTTTTCATTAAAAAAAAAAAAACTTGTAGCAATCGATATGATAGGATAGTCATCACAAAATGTATCCAAACGAACCGAAATATGACAACTTTCGAGGACTAACTAGAACACCACACAAAACGTGGGCGTAAATATTCTTAAATGAATGATACACGCCAATAATACTAAAACAACAACAAACAAAACAAAACACAACCCTGTAAATATTCAGCAAAATATATAAGGCACTGATCATGCAGCAGAAGAGTAAATGAACATGGTATTATATTGCAATAAAAAAAAAAGATGGATATAAAAGAACCATTTATGTAAATTTGCATAAATAATAACAAACAAGTAAGAAGGTATGAACACAACTATGAAAATAGGGGGAAGAAAAAAAGATTGAAATTCGTTTGAGTTCCAGAGAATGAAACAAAAATTCCATTGATTACTGGAAATATTTGAAATTGTCACAAAATGACTGCCTCTTCACAGAGGACAAATTTAAAAAAAAAATAAAGTACAATACACATGTTTTTAGAATTTTTTTAGGTTTGTTTTTGTATGATCTTTCTTTTTTCTTTCGTTGCATTGTTTAATACACAACAAAATCTCATTCCGGGGGAAACTAAACAAATGGGACAAATGATGTTATGTTATGAAGTCTTTGGTATATAAGCATGAATGTAAATAGCATGCAAACATCACAGCGAGAAGGATGGTTAGTTTTATCAAGTCTCAAACGTTAGCGTAAACAAGATTTCTCTTGAAGCGCATGCCGGCTAAAGCTATGTTAGTTTTTTAGACTATTAAACGTTAGTTTAAAGAAGAATTCACTACCCCACCAAACCTGAAGTGACCACCTTGAAGCACATGCCGGCTAAAGCTTGTTAGTTTTATAGAGTCTTGAACGTTAGTTCCCTACGCCACCAAACTGGAAGACACCATCTTGAAGCACATGCCGGCTAAAGCTACATGAATGCACAATCTACAGACTTTGGCACAGTCGAGACTTTGGTACACTGAGTGACTAGGACAAGGGATAATGGCTAGAAGGCTGGATGAATCTTTGCTTTCTACTCACGTAGCTGTTTATGGGAGCTGGTGGCCTGTCCATCCTTGACATGCTGCCACAGATGTCTCTTCAGATGCTCCAAGCGTTGGAATCCCTTTTTGCAGATCTCACAGCTGTACTTCTTCTCGCCTGTGTGGGTCCTCATGTGACGAGCCATGTGGCCACTAAAGTACTGCCCACAGATCTGGCATTCATGTGGCTTCACCCCGGCATGCGCGTCCAGATGACGCCTCAGGTTGGCCATCGCCGTAAACTCCTTATCGCAGATGTCGCACTTGAAGGGTTTGAATTCCGCATGGATCTTCACGTGGCGAGTGTAATCCTTGCGGCACTTCAATACCCTGCTGCAGTGTGGACACGGGATACTCTTCTTTGCGAGGACACGTGGTTCACCAGCTCTTACCTGAGATGTCCTGGAGGGGCTGGACGACATCATTGAGATGCCCATCACGCAGCTCCCGCATTTGTAGATCTTGACCCCGTCTTTGAGCACCGTGACGGTCTTGGTCATCTCCACGTCCCGTTGGCAGAGCTCGCACCGTACGCTGATGACCTTGTGGGTGTCCAGGTGCGGAATGAGGATGTTGATGCAACACAGGAGCTTGTCGCAGGTCTCGCAGGTCACCTCGGCCTGAAGACACACGTGATCCGTTGTCACCTGGTGTTCATCGACATGACTAGCTGTGGAGGGCTCTTCCTTGATTGGTGATCCGTTTAAAGGTTCAACGTTGCTTCCGCTGGCGAGGAGTGGAGGAACAGGCAACGGGTCTAGAGAAGAAATAATAATAATAATAATAGCCCACATCTATAATGCGCCAATACTTTGTTTCTACGCGCAGCACATATTATTACCCCCGTCATTGAATTCAGGCTTACCCGCAACACAATGTATGCACATTTTCACTCCATGGGGAGCATTCCAGCCAATCGCCATTTTACAAGTGCCACTTGCTAATCCAACCATATTAACTTTCGCATTGTACCAGGTACCCATTTAACACCCGGGTGGAGAGTGGCAAATGTAGATCAACGTCTTGCCAAAGGACATTAGTGCTGAGAAAGAGTCAAGTGGAAGTAAATTCACCCTATCCTTCTGCGAGTGACTTGAACAATCAACTTCTGTTTTAACATTGATATTGAAATACCAGCTCCTAACAATCTTTGAATATATTTCAATAACTGACTGCTAGACATTATATATATATATATATATATAAATAGCAATCATGGTTAAATACTTTGCACAATTTCTTTGACATCTTACATTTTTCCCCTCTGGTATACATCAAATGCTCCGGCAATAATCACTGCAGTCAGTTCCTTATTATCCATATTATCATATCAATTATACAAATTTAGAACCCAAACCCTGGACCAAGCTCTATACCTAACTTACCTAATCTTAACCTAAACCTCTACAGCAACACTAACCCTATACCTCTGAAAAATGGAGCCAGGACCAAATAATAATAATAATAATAATAATAATAATGATCCAATAATTAGTCCACTCCAAATTTTATTAAACCGAAACAGAAATTCTTTTTGCCCAATAATTGATTGTGAGCCCGGCAGCCACTGAGCAGCGCCAGATCGACGTTGCTCTATTCCTTTCTCTTTCTCTTTTTCTGTGGAAAACTCTCTGCCTAGAGCTCACGCTCTTCCCAGGGGGCGTTTCGCAAAGCCTTTTTTCAATGACAAATGACCAAAATCAGTGACAAATCTGCTAATAACCAATCAGAAGCAAGGATTTCAGTAGCTTTTAACAAAAATTATCATTTGTCACTGATGACAAGTTTTGTATAAAGGGGCCCAGGTTAAAAAAAATCACATACCTGGTTCAGGGGTTCCTTGAAGGAAGTTGGCAACACTGGCCCAGTCAAATTCTTCCACATGTTCCTCCATGACGGCACTGCCATTATTCACCACCTGTTTTTCGAAAGCTTCTTGTTTCGGCCCCAGTGTCGGCACTGCTCTTGGCGCTTCAACTGCCTCAGGGGTTGGGACTGCTTCTACTGCTTCAACTGCAGAAGATGTGACTTCTTGAACAGCATCTAGGAATGACAAGTAAAATGGGTAAAGTTGAAGTTTTAATTGAGGATCATCGTGCTTCACCTTAAAGCCTGTCTGTACTAGTTTTGCCAGGAAGGATTAGACCACCCAGTGTGGTCACTGACAGGTGGATATCTCGTTATTTAAAGCCCCTCTGCACTAGTTTTGCCAGGAAGGATTAGACCACCCAGTGTGTTCACTGACAGGTGGATATCTCATCAACTCAGCTCTCAATTAACATAAGAAAAAGAGGATCATGGGGGACCAACAGGCACTGCTTAGGCATTGTTTTCTATATAAAGGGAGCATGTAGCTACAAGTAGTACAGTGGGGCTTTAAAGAGTGATTGCTTCTGGCACTTCCAATTACATGTACTGTTTCTATTGCAGAAGCTGTGACAATTTGAATAGCATCTTGAAATGACAAATAGATATAAAAGAAGAAAAGGTGAAGTTTCAAATGGAACATCCTTGTGTTATTGGCCTAAAGGAGCAGACAGTGATGCATGAAATTCAGAAGCGAATTGAAAAAGTAGTAAAGAGAAAGCAGAGAAGAGAACGGAGAAAAGAAGAGGGAAGAGTAAATGACATATAGAAATGAGGATCAGCGTGCTTCACCTTAAAGCCTGTCTGTACTAGTTTTGCCAGAAAGGATTAGACCACCCAGTGTGGTCACTGACAGGTGGATATCTCGTCATTTAAAGCCCCTCTGCACTAGTTTTGCCAGGAAGGATTAGACCACACAGTGTGTTCACTGACAGGTGGATATCTCATCAACTCAGCTCTCAATTAACATAAGAAAAAGAGGATCATGGGGGACCAACAGGCACTGCTTAGGCATTGTTTTCTATATAAAGGGAGCATGTAGCTACAAGTAGTACAGTGGGGCTTTAAAGAGTGATTGCTTCTGGCACTTCCAACTACATGTACTGTTTCTATTGCAGAAGCTGTGACAATTTGAATAGCATCTTGAAATGACAAATAGATATAAAAGAAGAAAAGGTGAAGTTTCAAATGGAACATCCTTGTGTTATTGGCCTAAAGGAGCAGACAGTGATGCATGAAATTCAGAAGCGAATTGAAAAAGTAGTAAAGAGAAAGCAGAGAAGAGAACGGAGAAAAGAAGAGGGAAGAGTAAATGACATATAGAAAACCAGACAAAAAGTCAGCAAAGATGTGACAAACAAGGCCATGAAATGGACAAATAACCAGTTTGAATAAATACCTGCTGTATCAGCTACATCTTGATCAGTAACAGTTGTTGGATTGGCAACGTAGGCGACTTCCTCTTGGCAGATTGGCTCTTGGTCCATCACCTCGCTGTGCAGTTTCATATGGAAAGGAATGTAGTTGGGGCAACAGCATGGCTCGCCACAGATGCCACAGCTGATTAGTTCATGAGTACAAGGGTGTGGTTTGACATCGTCTCCGCAGTCGGAGGCGATGTCGGAGGCATCTAGCGCTTTCTTGATGATATCATCCTCTCCGATGGACTCTGTAGCCTGCTCATTGTGCTGCTCCATATGGAAAGGAATGTAGTTGGTACAACAGCATACATCACCACAAATGCCACAGCTCACCATGTACTGCAAGCAAGGGTGCCCTTTCACTTGTTTCCCTGCAATCTGGGGTGCTTCATGGGCTTCCGTCAGACTTTCACCTTCAGAGTCCTTGAGGATGTGGTCTTTGGGAAGATCCTTCGCCTTCTCACCATGAATCTCCATGTGCAGGGGGATATAGTTGGCACAACAGCATGCCTGCCCACAGAGACCGCAGGTCACAGGATCATAGGTGCAGGAGTGGTCCCTGACTGGCTTCTCACCATCACCACCTTGTCTGGGCGTAGCGCCCTTCTTGACGGTGCCGCCTTCGATGTAGTCTTCGGCTTTCTCACCATGCACTTCCATGTGGAAAGGAAGGTAGTTGGCGCAACAGCAGGCGTCACCACAAAGACCACAGACAGCGTCATTGTATGTGCAGGGATGCTCCCGGTATGGCTGGTCATTCACTGGTGGACGAACGGGCATGACTACTGCAGGCCAAGCAAAAGGACAAAAGATGAAATAATGATATACAATACACCTCATAATGTCTATAAAGATCTATACAAAACTGAATTATTGTAGTAATCCTTAACAATAATAAAGTGAAGGGTTGTTTCTACGACCTTGTCAACCAAAATGAGGGGACTGGAACAATTGCATCTACATGTAAGTTGGGTAGCTTCTGGGTATCATCAGGTTTTTCCTGCAGACCCAATAAAATGTTACTGGTAAGCCCTGTAGAGCATTAAGATATTTTTTCTGATTGGGAAGAAGATCATACTAGTTCATTTTGTTTTGTTTGAATTTTGATTATTTCTAAAAGGTAATTATGTGGACTAGTAAACTAGTTGTGGTATTTTTAGACTTAAGAAGCTGTAAAACATGCAAACTGATACAAACAGAAGAGTGCATTAACTGAAAAGAAAAGCATCTGCAATAACCAAATTTCACAAAGAAACATAAAGGTAAATGATCATCTTACCTGGTCCAGGTAAAAAATTAATATTTATTTTTCGGGGGCTACTTTTCAAGCTTGCCTGCATGAAAATAACATTCTAAAATTTGTATTGCATTGAACTCTATGCAAATTTACAGGGCTCTTTTCTGATTTTCGGGCCCTTTTGGGCATTTCAGGGGATATTTCGCCCCGAGCCCCGGTGTATTGTTTTCACTGTACCTGGACTAAGTTCATTGGAGCCAGCTCCTCCCTGCTGTGTCAGTGTCCCATCTTCATGAGATCTCACATGCCGCTTCAAGTGCTCCTTCCGCAGGTACTTCTTGGAGCAGAGATGGCACTGGTACTCCTCATGCATACCAAGGTGCGTCTTCAAGTGCCTCTTGAGATGCTCGCTGCGGTTGAAACCCTTGTGGCACATGTTGCAGACGTAGCTCTTCTCGGTGGAGTGGCTGCGCATGTGCCTCGCGAGGTGTCCAGCGATCCCCTTGTTGCAGATGTTGCACCAGTTGGGCTTCTCACCAGTGTGCCTCCAGACGTGGCGCTTGAAGTTGCGGCTGTGCGCGAAGCCCATCCCGCAGAAGGAGCAGTGGTAGCGCTTCTCACCCGTATGGATCCGCAGATGCTCCCTGAAGTACTTGCGATCTACGAAGCTCTTCGGGCAGTGCGGGCACTCAATGCGCTTCTTCGTCACGCCGGCGGGCAGATCCGAAGGGATCACCCTGTTCCGGAGAATCTGGTGGAGGCGCAACTGCTTCCTGGAGCGTGAAGCGCAGATGCTGCAGATGCGTCCACCTTTGACATAGGTGGATGGAAGATCACCCAGTTCCTTCCCACACTTGCCACAGTTCTCAGATTCATTGCTGTGCATTTCCATATGGACTGTTATGTAGTTGGCGCAGCAGCAGTTATGTCCACATATCCCGCAGGTGACCTTGTCTTCTAGACACGTGTGTTCCTTTACCTCCTCAGGTGGTTCTTCCTTGACATTGAGGTCACCATCCTTTAACATGGACATCGATCCTGGAAGAACGGAAGACAATACAAAACTCTCATTAGCATTGTATTTTAAATCTATCTTTAAACTTGGTGACGTCATGATTGTGGGATCACAAGCATGGGGGATTAGAATTCTTAACAGTGGAAAGAAAAATACCTCAGGCTCTCTGTTCAAGAGAGTTCTTTTTTTTAGTTCTTTTTCCCCCTTACTTTATTGCCGTTTTTTTTTTTAGTTTTACAGCTTTCTGCAAGACATTAATTTAGTTTTCCTTAGCTATTTGGGGGCTTTTCAGAGCTGAATTGCTTGCAGTTCATCAATGCCAGAAAGGTACTAATATCTTTAAAAAGTTGTTCCCTTAACCCTATTTAGCCCGGGCTATTTTGAAACTGCATAGCCTAGGGGGGGGGGGGGGGCTTCTAAGGCCCCCCCCCCCCCCTATGATCTCGACCGTGAAACGCCCGATCGCCGCGAAAATTTGCATACATGTCAAGTGAACTGTATAGAATACTATGGTAATTTCAATTTTTTTTTAAATTAACTCATTTGCATATTTATGGTAATTTATGCAAATTTCACATTATTGCCCATAAATCAGACATTATTCATATTTAAACATTCTTTCTCACTACATATATTTGTTAGACCATTTGGAACAATAATACAACACAAAAAATTGAAAAACCAGGGTTATTCCTTATGTTATCTATTGTTTTGATAATTTCTTATGTATTTCTTTGTTTTTTTAACTTTTATGTATTTTATTGTTTTTGTTGTTTTATTTCATTTCCAACTATAATTCAACTTTTTTGACCCCAACATAAACACCTAAACTATAAACAAGACCAAATAACCAATGCTTTATCTCTCATTGAAAATGAGATTTCCATATGTTTTGTACACAAATCACAAAAATGAGCGATATTCGGGCTGACATGCAAAGACAAAAGGACACATGACTTTGTAATGGTAGGTCCGATTTTCGAAAAATTTCAGTGCAAGATTTTCTTGCATTAAAAAATTATCGCGAAAAATGTCGAGGGGGGGGGGGCTTTAGAAGCCCCCCCCCCTCCCCGGGCTAAAAACACACTAAACCACAGAAAAAAAGCACCTCTAGGCACAAATTCTTCAAGAAAAAAATGAATGACAATTACCATCCTCTTCCTCTTCCTCATCCTCCATGTTTTCTTCATCAGAATCTTCACCGTCAAAATGACTCTCATCTGTTGTAGGAATGATTGTACAGAGCAAGAAAGAGAAAGAGAGAGACAGAAAGAGGGGGAGAGAGGGGGATAGAGAGAGAGAGAGAGAGAGAGAGAAAAAAAAGAGAGAGACAGCGAGAGAGGAGGGTAGAGAGAGATATAGAGAAAGAGAGAGGGGGATGGATATACCGAGACATACAGAGACAGTGTAAGACGAGACATAGAGAGAGAAAGAAGGGTAGAAAGAGAAGGCAAGGAGATGAAAGAGAGAAGACGGTGGGAGGGTAAATGGAATGGAGAAACAGAGATCAATTGAGCGCAACGTGGAACAAAAAGAGCATAATCACATCCTCTTCTCCACAGCATTTTCCAGTTTGATTATTGGTAATATTCACAGAGCAGTTCTTAACTCTTTACAGGCTTTGTGGGAATACTGGAATAAACAGCGGACCACTAAAATCATATTTGATCCCATGTAGTGTATATGAATCACAGACTTTCAACAATGATATAGTATAGGGTTTCAATCCATGGCAATTAACTAGTTGAAGGGGGATTCCATCCTACATCTCCTGTATGACATACAGTGTATATGTTTTTCTACCACATATTTCATCAAAAAATTAATACTCTCTAGATGTATGACCACTGAATAACAATATTTTCTTGTGTAGTCAAACCTGTCTACTGTGACCGCCCAAGGGAAAAACAAAAAGTGGTCTTTGTAGACAGGTTCCAATAAGAAACCATTTTCAAGGGAAACAAAAATTGTGCTTGTTGTAGACAGGTGGTCTTTGTAGACAGGTGGTCACTAAAGCAGGTTTGACTGTATCACTACCATTAGCAATAGTCATAACAAGAGATTTTCCATTCATAGATGTAAAATATATAAATGTAATACGATGTATGAGACACATTACATTCCTCTATGTGGTATAGTGGTTCATACACTTGTAAGCGACTTCCAATCCAAGGGGTTGAGGGTTTGAATCCTAGCCTGGCACTAAATGTCCTTTCGCAAGGCATTAATCCACATTTCCCACTCTTCACCCAGGTGTCAATGGGTACATGGTAATTGATAGGGGTAATCGTAGATGTATTGAAATACTATATAAAAGCGGAAAATATTTATTATTATCATAATAATTGCATGACCCTCAGAAAGAAAAGCATTGATACTGATGAGGCTTCCTTGGGTAAATAAAATCACCATTACCGCTCTATTCATACAATTCTATATCTTGGGCCTGCAAGAGGGATACGGCATCTTCCATACCTTTCTCGTAGTCCATCTCGCCCTGAGCTTCCCTACTCGAGATCTTCATCTGAGGCCTCTTGTGCTGCTGCTGCTGCTGCTGCTGGAGCTGCGGGGAAGAGGAACCTATTGCGCCCTCTTTGGCCTTTGCGATCTCTTCCTTGGAATGTATCTTCATGTGTCGGTAAAGATGGAGACCTTTGCAGACCTTGGTGCAGATGGGACAGGTCTGGAGCTGGGGCGAGGGCGCTTCACCCATGTTGGCGTTCACGTAGGAATTGACCTTCATCTCATCTAAAAGTGACAAGAAAAAGAAGGAATTACCGTCCACAAATCATTTTTGTTTAAAGGCACACTGTCCTACTTGTAGCTACTTGCTCCCTCTATATAGAAAACTTCCCCAATCGGTGCCTGTTGGTCCCCCATGATCCTCTGTTTATTATGTTAAATGAGAGCTGAGTTAATGAGATAGCCACCTGTCACAGTGACCTCGCTGACTCGCTGGGTGGTCTAATCCCTTCTAGCTGAAGTAGTAAAGCGTGCCTTTAAAGATAAAGTTGAGTTCTGGTCATGCGATTGCATTGTTAAAGAAACGGTGTGGAATCGATCAGAAAAGGTTGATCATCTAGCATATAAGTATTGGTGTGTACTGCAAGGTTCTGGAATCATCAAAATTATAAGAAATTTGGCCCAGTCTTGGTAAGGTTACACGAGCATCCTTCCCAATTTGTATCCTGTTACATGCCATATTTAGAATATTAAGACATTTGAAGAGCCATGCTTTTCAGGGAACACTTTTTATCTGATGTTCTTCCATACTTGTATAATAACAATGATAATGCTCACAAATTATATTTCACCTCTTCCCAGAACTCAACCTTCTCTTTAATGTCACAGAAATGCTAATTGAGTTTATTTTGTTATTTAAAAGAAAAGACATTTATACGACCATCTATGCAACAAGAAACCAATGTGAATGGCTCAATTAGGACTTTCCTTGCAGGGACGGCTGGTATGACCTGCAATCAACAATTATCTCCCAATATATATATAGCTAAAGTGGCTATCCTGCAAGCAGGTTTCAGTGAAGGGTATTTGAAGGTGCACTCTGTACACTGTATGTATACAATGACAGATATAAGGTGAAACCAGCATTCCGGACCACTTGCATAGACAGGCAGCATTTCTTTTGTTTCTCTTGATCGAAGTAACCAGGGACCTGTTTTACAAAGCGTTGCGATTGATCCAAATCAATCACAAATTAGCAGTCTCCTATCTCTTATGTACATAGTTGCGATTGATAAAACTCTTTGAGACAGGGCCCTGGGCATAAAGACATAATGATTCTAATTGACTTACTGATCTGCGGATGATCCTTAGGGATGGTGCCTTCTTGAAGGTGGTTAAGCAGATGCCGCTTCAAGGGAACCCTCTTCAGGAACCCTTTCCCACAGGCAGAGCAAACAAACGGCATGCCTCCAGAATGTGGCTTCGGCCTTGCATACACATTGACAGCAACCGCAACAACCGGCTTCATCTCGGTCAGCTGCGGCTTTCGATCAGTGAGCCGTGGCCTTCCGACTCTCCCCTTCTTCACGACGTGCTGCAGCGGTGGCCTTCCCACGGGCCTTCCCACTGTGTGCGGCGGCCTTCCCACGGTGTGCGGCGGCCTTCCCACGGTGTGCGGCGGCCTTCCCAAGGCGTGTGGCGGCCTTCCCACGGTGTGTGGCGGCCTTCCTACAGTTTTGGGTGGCCTTCCGACGGTGTTAGGTGGCCTTCCCACGGTGTTAGGTGGCCTTCCGACGGTGTTAGGTGGCCTTCCCATGGTGTGCGGTGGCCTTCCGATTCTCCCCTTCACTCCAGCGAGCGTCTTGGACTGGCTCTGCTGCTGTCTTTGCTGATGTCTACCATGGATCAGCATGTGCCTGTTGAGGTGGTATCGCTTGGAGAAGGTCTTGCTGCAGGTGGGGCACTTGTACGGTCGGTACCCGCCAGCATGGATCCGAGCGTGCTCCCTGAGGTGCTTGATGTACTTGTATGTCTTGTCGCATTCAAGGCACTGGTGTCTCTTCTCCTCATCATCCCCTGCGGCGAGTCCATCATCATCCTGGACATCGTCCTGGGCCTCGTCTCCCTCATCGTCTTGGATGTCATCCGATTTTGGTTGTGCTCCCATTCCTGCTTGTTCAGGCTTGCAGACGTTGCAGATCTGGAAATGCAATATGGATCAAATACAAATTCTTCATTAAAAGGAATTATTAAAGCAGATCAATTTTTTAACAGGGTCTTATGATTTTCGTGATCAGACTTATGCCCCGGCGGCATTTTTTCCAGACTTTATGATGTTAAAGATGGAAGCTTACAGCCAAGATTGCATATTTTAACTATTAGGGAAGGAATAGGTACGGTGGTGTTGGGTCTACATTTCAAGTAAGAATTTTGTACCGCTAGAAATTTACTTTGAGGCACTAGAGCAAGCACAATAGGGGTATCGTTTGTTAAAGCCCCACTGCACTACTTATAGCTACTTGCGCCCTCTATATAGCAAACAATGCCTAATCGGTGCCTGCTGGACCCTATGATCCCCTTTTTCTTATGTTAATTGAGAGCTGATTGGATGAGATAGCCTCCTGCTAGTGACCACGCAGGGAGATCTAACCCCTCCTGGCCAGACTAGAGCAGATGGGCTTTAAAGAAACCAAGCACTCTCTCACCGTGGAGCCTTTGTTGGCACCAGATGGTGCAAAGTCCATTCCGCAGGATCTGCACTGGACCATCATGGGTTCTTCGTGGTTGACCATGGTTTCTTCATGGTTCTCCATGTGTAGTGGGATGTAGTTGGTACAGCAGCAGGCATGACCGCAGATGCCACAGGTCACCTTGTCCTCCAGGCAGGCGTGTTCCTCTGGAGCTGCGTCCTGTGAAGGGAATCACATTTTACACAATAATAATAATATTGTATATTTATATGGCGCACACATCCACCACTGTTACCCCGGCTCTGCTAGGCAGCCGATTTTGGCGCTCACAGCATTCAAGGAATTCCTTCCTACCGGTACCAATTTAACACCTGGGTGGAGAGAGGCAAATGTACATTAATATCTTGCCAAAGGGCATAAATTCCATGGCGGGACTCAAACCACAGACCCTGTGATCCACAGTCCAACGACTTATCTACTAGACCACAGATCTCTACAATCATGGAAAATGGACAGAAAAAAGGAAAGAACTGTTGAGAATGGAAATCAGATTTTCAAATACTAGTACAAGGACATGTTTTTAATGAAACTGTACAAATTTGCTGCCACCTCATCACACGGTTTAATTTGAATACAAGTTTTCATGAGGCGTCTGCCAACTTGCACTTATTACGATTCCATGACAAGATGCACTGGTTTCCAAGTGGAAAAACAAGTAAAAAAAAAGCCAGCAGTTGCAATTAGCAAGCTATTTGGTCAAGAAAATATCATGAGAAATCTTGGCCTTGATTCCAAATGCCCGCTATTTCACAAATAATGAGCTAATTTGTGATGAGCGTATGGGTCTGGTGAAGACGCAATTTCAAGTCTGAAAATAGCGGGTTATTATGCAACTTCGGTCTGATGAAGACAGGTCTTAAGAAATGGAACCAATTCTTGACCACGCAGAAAAGGCAATGTATTAAATCATCCCTCCTACCTGTGAAGGGAAGACCGCCGGGGTATCGTCTTCAGGAGCAAGCTCTTCTTTTATCGGATCATCTTCAGCCTCAGGAGAGGGAGGGCTGCCATTGGTCATCATAGGCAAGTTTGCAACTGCAAATACAAAGATATAGAGAAACTTAATACAGGAAATATCTTGCAACATGTCCGCATGTTGACATTTATTCATTCATTTCATAACAAATAAAAATCTCTTGGTTTGACCATTGTCTACAGGTTATTTTGTGTATCATTCACACTATTACAGGATCATATCAAGATATTTTTCATTTTTTGATGAATTAAATGGAAAAGAGACATATTGCATATTACATACAATGTACGAGCATACAATGTACGAGCATACAATGTAGCAATAAATAATGTATGCAGACTGGATTCCAAGTATTGTAATTCATTCAATAATAATTTGGGGTATATCGACAGATAGCCTCTATAGAGATGATAACTCAAGTAGGTATCTTTGAGATATCTTACGTGTGCCAGCGATGATTGCAGCCAGGTCTTCTTTGCTGTGGCCCTGCAGATGTTCCTGGAGTTCATCCTTGATGTAGAACACCTTGGTGCATACCCCGCACCGCAGGACATTCTCATTGTTGTGTTGCTTCATGTGTCTTGCGAGGTGTCCACTGTTTGTGTATGTTTTGTCACAGATCAAGCAGGTATGCTGCTTGGTCAGGCTCCTTTGAAAAATATCGTCTGTGAAGGATAAAAAAGACATTATCTCAAGATGCTCGACATTGATTACATGCGAATGCACTGTCGGACAGGTTGATATTACCAATCTTATTAGAAATGCTACCAGTCTACAAAGTCTTCATTCATTGTTTTCCTTGGGTGGGACTGCATGTTAATATAGTAAACAGGGTTGACTGTAATATAATAAAACTGCTCATTAGCCACAGAGTACCTACAACAAATTTCCAATTGAGAAAAAGAGTAAAGGAATTAAAATAAATAACTGTATGATAACATATCAATTTCTTCCTCTTCCTTTCTTTCTTCATTTATATAAACAAATTTCAAAGAGTTATTTGTGCATCATAGCCCCAAACCTTCAGACTAAACCTGGTCCGTCTTACCTAGCTTGGATTTAGAGCCGGAAACACTTCCGTCTGTCATATGCTCCGCCAAATGCCTCTTCAGAAGCTCGCTCCTGTAGAACCCTTTCTGGCAAATCTCGCAGGTGAACGGCTTCTCCCCTGTATGGCTCCTCATATGCCGGGCCAGATGACCCCTGAACGTCTGACCACAGACCTCGCAGCGGTGCGGCTTAGAGTCTGTGTGCGTCACTAGATGGCGCTTCAGGCTGCAGCTCTGCGAGAAGGACTTTCCGCAGGTATCGCACGCGTATGGTTTCAATCCTGTATGGATGTTTGTATGTCTTTTCATGTCCTTCTGGGAGTTGAATTCCTTAAAGCAGTGCGGGCATGGGTGCTTCCGCTTCGGCTCTGTCCGATCCGGTTGTTCCTGCGCCGCGAACGTCCCGCCGTTGATGAGCTGGTGGAGGCGGAGCTTCTTCTGGGCGCGGGACTTGCAGATGTCGCAGATGTACGAGAATTCGGTCAGGTCCGGGGAGGTGTCGTCTTGGTTTAAAACCTCGGCTTCCTTTCCGCAGCCGCCGCACTTAACTTTGACTGTACAGGGCAGTAGGAAATGATCATGTAACACGTCCTCTGTCTCTGGGCTTATACTACAGTTCTGCTCTACAGGTAGCGCAGGTTCTGAAAGAAAAGAACAGCACATTACATGTGTAACTCAGACCTGTCTACCTCTGGAGTTCAAAAACTGTATTCTTTAATCCCAAAAGTAGTATTTTATTGACAAAAATTGTATTCTTAAGAAAAAACATGGATAAATGCCTCTTACAGTTCCTACATACAGGAAGAATTTTTTGTATTGATCATTTGTTGAATACATGTAAGCATGATTTCGTCACGACTGGTGTGTCTAATGAACCAATGAACATCCCCAATTTGCCGATGTGAGATGCTTGTACGATACTTAACATTTTTCTGTTTTGAAAATCATATTTTATTGAGGAAAATTGTACTTACTTAAATCGTACTAAATACAATTAAATCATAAAGGTTGGCGGCTCTGGTTACTATAGTAAATAATCATGGTAGTTCCTCTATTCATGAGCCCTCTTCTGGATTTCATTTTTAATATTTTCTAACCCTATGATGCATGTTTTTTCCATTATTTTCCTCCAAGGGCTCCAAAAAAAAAAGGTTACAGGGCACTTTAATTCCCACATCAACTAAATCTATTAATTCACTCCATAAATCTGTTTTCCAACGAAATGTAGAATATAGAAATGTGGCTTCAATGTTTTGGGGAGTCTTGATTAAATATCTGGATTTAGTTGGACATAACAACCCATATCAAACCCTGTTGTTCCATCTAACTTCTTTGCTTTCCTGAGGTTATACTGACCTTTGACCTCTGACTGCAGCTCCTGAGTCAAAGTAGGTGGTACATCATCCTTTGTTTCTAGCTGTTCAGCTGAACTCAATGAAGTCATCTCTCATAAGTCATTGGGTTGGAATCTATTAGGAAAGGTCAAGCATTAAGGGTCAACTCTGTATTTACTAAGGATTGCAAAATTAGAGTTTTGTGTGTAATAATGATAATAGTGGGTTCTTGTATATCACTCATACGTATCTATGTCATTCTGAACACTCCTGGCACTCTACAATGATTACCCGGGCTTAAGCATGGCTGTCATAAATGGCGCTCTAGCATTTCAAGGAATTTGTTCCTGGCATGCACCCATTTACATCACTGGGTAGAGTGTGGCAATTGATGATAACTGCCTTGCTAAAGGACGCCAGGGCCAAGGCAGGACTTGAACCAGGAACCATGTGATGCACAGTCTGGCGACGTATCCACTAGACCACAACACCTCAACTCTCGTTTCCAGGAATCAAACCCTATGCACATGTACACAAGTAAGACAATTAATGTCTGAACAGTGAGACTACATGTCTGTTGACTACACAGTTGACACACTAGAGTCTTTGTAATTTACTTAAGCTGCTCCTGAAACAGCAAGAGACCGACAGAGCTAGGCTTGGCTCAAGGTTTTGTTGAATTGTATTTTAGTGTTGCATCAGAGTCTGTGCAAGCAGACTACTGGTACTATTAGGTGTATATGGTACAATAAAACTGCACTACACACTGTGCATGTGACGATAGTCCACTCAGCTATACCGAAGCTGTGACATCATAAAAATCTATTTTTAGAATTTCTCAATTTTTTCTTCATTTTCCGAAAGAGCATCAAAAATAATGTCTGAATGTCGAAAACCAATTCTCGCTACCCTAAATAGGTACGAAAATCTCGAAATTCGCGAGACGAGGTAATTTTCACTCTCTCGGGTCGTCACTACAACTTCCGGTATAGAGTCCCATCCCGCTGGCGCTAGCGCCTGTATTCGCTGTGCAGAGTTTTCACGCACGCTAAAATCGATGCCAATCAGTGTAATTTGTACAGATTATAATATGCAATGGAAAGCTTCGGGCAGAATTAGTGACTTTAGCACAAAAGGCCGTTAAACTCTACCGTGAAAGAGAGGGTTGTGATCACGAACGCCTGCACAGGAAGCTGTAATGTCGAAAAGCTATCCCATAATGCAATGCGCGTTTTCAGGATTTTCCCCGGATCTCGGCAGAATCGCTATTTGGGGTAGCGAGAATTGAATATGTCAAGTATTGGCTGAGATATTGACCATCTGAATATATATATGTCCTATATGGGAACTATGTGTTAAATAGTGCTCTCCTAATGTTATGACGTCACACTTCACCACTCTATAGTCTATTGCTCAAGGGTACATATTTTAATTGCCATCATTCATTCATAATAAGGACTGCACATATAGAAAGAGAAGCCCCAAGGAAAAATAATTGCATAATCAATTTTCAAAATATGTAATAAATAAATTAAAGAATAAATAAATGAATCAGTATGGGTCTAGGGTAGTCTAAATAAATATAGAACAATAGAAATACATTAGCAAAAAAAAAATTATTACTCTCCCAGCATGAATTTATAGAAAAAGAAATGTACTAAAAGGTAAAAATTCGTATTTCACCACTAGATTCAAAGACATTGATGTGGCTAGCAGCATGAACATGAAAATATAAAATAATGAAACACAAAGTAGACTGCAGAAAATTACCTTAAAGGTAAAGACCAGTATTGGAAACGCCCCAATTTCAAAAAATGAAATGGAAGCTCTCATTACCAATCATGTGAAAGAATATGTTTTGACTAATACATGATGATAACAAATTTGCCGGGAAACCGCCTACTAATTCATATATTTGGTAAATTTGTTTCTCTCATGGTCTGTGAGAGATATAGGGTAGTCCCATATACATCTTTCTGTGTATAGTGCTTGTAACTTTACGAAGAATGGGCCAAATTTCTTATCATTTTGATGATTCCAGAACCTTGCAGATGCTAGATGCTAGATGATCAACCTTTTATGATCGATTCCACGTTTCTTTCACAATGCAATCGCATGACCATAACTCGTCTTTACCTTTAAAAAAAAAAGGAAGGTAATTGTTTTTAAAATATTTTGAATTAAAATAATATTTGAATTGTCGATACTGTGTATTCCATGCTTCTGAAAAACCAAAATATGTAATAAATGAATCAGTAGTTCTAAATAAATATAGAACAATATAATACATTAACAACAAAATAATTATTACTCTACCAGGAATCCAGATTATGGATTAGCTGAAGAAAAAAATTAATAGACTCTATTTATGGACGGAAATAAATAGTTAAAAAATTGTATTTCTCCAATAGATTCAAAGACATTGATGCAGTGCTCAGTCATGAACATTAAAATATAAAATAATGAAATACAAAGTAGAATACCAGTACAGAAAATTACATTTACAAAACTCAAGGTCAGTTTTTTCAAATAGTTTGAATTAAAATAATATTTCAAATTGTTGATGCTGTGCATTCCACGCTTCTGAAAAAACAAAATAATTCACCTCAAAAATTTAAGTCAAAATCGAGGATTTTTTTTTTTTGCGGCTAAATATTGCTGTAAATTTAAAAAAAAACACATGTTGATTCTACATTTAATCAACCATAAATGTACAGCGGTATTTAGTTGGTGATTTTGTGTTTGCGCAAAATTTGCTTTAGTCAAACTTTACATCCAGCAAATTTAAGGAGGCTAAACATCCCCCCGCCCCCCCCCCCCCCTCCCCACCTAACTCTGCGCAATGATTGGATATTATGACTCTAGTCTCTACACTGGCGATGTGGATAGAATACTCAAATTAAATGCAATTCTGCAAATTCATGTACGACAAATGCTCAAGACCAACCAGTTTCTGAAGTGCAGATACTAGATCATAATCAGATTAATGGGGGGGGGGGGGATCTGCTTGCAATGGCCCCCATGCTGAGCGAGAGTCTGAGACCGAGCTTACTGCAGATTTCTGACCATATTCTTGTGATCTAACTCAAGTTAATCTATTCTAGATTTTAAATTCTATCATTTCTATGTATAGATTCACTAGATCATATTTATAATGTGAATTATATTGGCATTATTGAAAGGACTGGATTTTAATCGCAAAAACACGTCTAGCAACTCACACAAATTATCGCGTGGGCAATGTCAATTCACCAACAACACACGAACACACACGCAGGCCCAAATCATATGCTCATACATGCACTGCACACACTATACACGCACAAGGCCCATACTATAGTGCAATGAACAGTTTTCATAGGCGTGCGGGGGCCGCGGGGCGTCGTGGCAGCCTCGCACAAAATTCAACACAATATTACACATTCCACACGACGAAAATCAACACAATCGACTCTTCTAAACTATCACCAAATATTTCTTGCACTTTTATAACTAAAAGGGATCGAAAACACTTACCATAAATGTGGAAATTTTTGATGAAAAGTGCCCTAAATTTTTTGCGTCGTACACCGGAAGCATATCGATAATGGTATAGTTTAGCCCTCAGACCCTAAATCCTAATTTCTTTGTTTAATCTTCGGACGCCCTCCCCCATGGATTCTTCCATTTGCATTGTGGGTAATTTCCGGGATAGTGGGTATGTAGATGTAGTTTTAAGCACACCCCTTTCTCTATGAATTCTTTGTTCTTTGAGTGTACGAATGTGTTCCCCCTCTCTCTTTATCTCTCTCCTTTCTATCTCTCGCTCTCTTTCTTTCTTTCTATCTCTCTCTCTCTCTCTCTCTCTATCTCATTTTCAATCTAGTTTTTTTCCTCTTAATTTCCCTCATTCGAGTATTTCATTTTTCCATCTGTCTTATTCAAATATTACAACTATTATTACTCTCTATCCTAATTCATTCTTCATATCTATCTCGATCTTATGGTTCTTATTATTTGTCGTTATTGGTTTATTTCAGTTTAATATCATTATCATTTTGTGCTATTTATTTTGTAATCTTGTATCGTATAGAGCTCCCTGAACAATATTTTGATTCTCCCATTCTCTCTCTCTCTCTTTCTCTCTCCCCATGAACTTTCCACTTATCCCTTTCCTACTCTCCCCAATCTCAGTCTCCATCCTTCTAATATGAATTCAGTTTAATACAAAACAAACAAAATAAAGACAATATGTTGCGTTCTTCTCTCTTAATTTAAAATATATTAACCATGAAAGATCCAGACTATATAAGCCTATATATTTTAACAGCAACATCTGCATGAGAATAAAGTTCATGTTTCTGTCGCAGCAGAAAATACATAGATATAAATCCAAAGCTGTTTGGAGGCACTTGATATAACATGAATATGCAACGTACAAGAACTCATTATTATTATTATTGCTATCAATAGAAATATAGTTTGTTTAGTATCACCATAATCATCAATATGTTTTTTTTTAACTTTTCATATTACCATCATTACTATTGTTAATTAATCATGATCATTATCATTATTACTGTTATTATTATCATTATTATTAGTAGTAGTAGTGCCAGTATTAGTATCATTACTACTTCTACTACTACTTCTAGTGGTAGTAGTACTAAGTAGCAGTGGTAGTACTGTAATAGTAATAGTTGTAGTAGTAGTAGTAATAAACATGCCAATAATCAGTTAAACAGAGTTGAACAAATGAGATCCTGACTCTATAAAATGCAGCCTCTTAACATCATAAAATATATAACTAAACCTAATAAATTCCTGATTTATATTTGGCACTAGTGTTTCATATAACATGTCTGAGTATTAGATAATACAATCCACTCAGAAAAAAGGAACATATAGCCCTATAACACTTCTGTTGAATTTGATTATTCCTTGTATAAATTGTCATGTACAATTTTCCTTCTGACAGCAAATGGTTGAAAATTATGAATACAGAAAAAATTACTGTGAATGCACTCAGCTTAAATTAGCAACAAACTCCACAAATTAGTACTGCATTCTTCATTTATAAATTAATATAAATCTGATAAATGATCATAATTTAAATAGATGTATAAATTATTTATTATTTTTCACTGATTCATTTTTTGCTTCTTATTACATACATGTATACAAAAGAATTAGAGTGCACATTTCTTGAAACACTGTTCTACAGAGAATTTACGCACATTATTTGATTACTTTTCACAAATAACACAGTCAAATAAGTCTAGATTCCTTTATTCCTATACCAAACTGCAAATAATATAAGTAGAAATGATAGCACTAAAATGTCAAGAAACTATCTTCTATACTGCTCACCTCTCATTTTACCCCCTGTCAATTCATGATATAAAGATACATATGAAAATTTGAATTATTGACAGGTTGATAATTTTAGCACATATTTTCATATTCAATCTACAATATGGAAAAGAGAAAACCAAGATTATTATAAGAGTACTGTTAGTTTTATTGCAATATAATTTTTATATATATATATATATATATATATATATACATGTATATATATATATGAACTGAATCAATCTCATCTTAATGCTTTTGCTATTAAGTGGCGGTCTCTCATGGAAATGGGCTAAAAATGATCTAGAAGGTGCCACTAACTTGTCACTGGGGTAAACGCGGCATTGCGCAGGATTGAAAAAAAGCTACATGTACACACCAGGCCCCATAATAGCAGAACATTTCATGCTTTGCAGAATTTTAACTCCTGCAATTTTCAACACTAGTTTTACCCAATCATATCAAATAATCTTGAACATGGTCTTCTAAAAGAATTATTTGATGCAAAATTTATTAAAAAAAGCACACAAGTATTTGTGATTGATTCAGCTATAGCTTGAATAACTCTGCCAAGGTCTTGCACTGAGTTGTCCCTATTCCCAAGTTAGCCAGGATTCTAAGGTAGACTTGTAACATTAAATCATAACCTCTACTTCACAGAAAACAAATAGAAATAACACAAGGATACAGATAAAGTAAAGCAGCCTCTTAATTCACATCAGTGAGTAGATCAATAAATTACGATACCAAACTAGACTACTACTGAATTTTCTTATTCCCACAGGTTGAATACAGACAAAACCTAGTTACAGTCGAAAATAGGTTAAAAAACAAGCGAGAAATATTCATAACCCTACTACTGAATTTGTCTAATTCCCATAGGCTTTATACAGACAGAATTTGATTCCAGTAGAGAGTAGGTTAATAAACTAGCAAGAAAGGAAAAGCCTTATCTGCTCATATTTTATCCAATTGTCTACTAGTTTGTCACTTTTCACCAAAAAAAAGAAAAAATGTTGATGCATACCACATCCCCCATCTACACCAATACTACTAGTTAAAAATAAATGATTTGGATCGCTTTTCGTGTCATAGGATCGAGTTATACCAGGACCTAAATAGGCCATTTTTGTAATGTAATCAAATCTAATGCATAATGGTTTGTTAAGTGCCATGCTACATGTACATTTTATTTCATTCACCTGTTACTTTGGATAGCCAGAATGCGAACTGCACATATTACTTGTTGCTAGGTAGGACATGTCATAATGTTTGTCCTACCAAGCAAAAATTAAGGTATGAATTCGCATTCTACCTATTGAAATACAATCATTCATGACAGGTGAATGAAAGAATTTAAAACATGGCACTTAAAAAGAAGGTTGAGTTCTGGGAATTAGAGGTGAAAAATAAATTGTGAGCGTTATCATTGTTATTACGCAAGTGTGGAAGAACATCAGATAAAACTTGTTTCTTCAAATGCCTTCATATTCTAAATATGTCATGTAACATCGTAAAAATTGGGACAGATTTTTACGCTACGTGTTGGTGTAGTCCCATATACATCTTTCTGTGTACAGTGTTTGTAACTTTACTAAGACTTGGCCAAATTTCTTATCATTTTGATGATTCCAGAACTAGAACCTTGCAATACACACAAATACTTATATGCCAGATGATCAACCTTTTCTGGTCGATTCCACACCGTTTCTTTCACAATGCAATCGCATGACCAGAACTCAACTTCATCTTTAACAAAGATTTATGCATTAAATTTGATTCTATTATAAATGGTTCATTCATCGAAAGTCCTTGTGCTTCTTCTTCTTATGTTTTTTCACCTTCACCTTATAACCATGCCCTTTACAGTCCGAGTCACTGCTGGAAGAACTTGAAGACGACGATGATGAAGAGCTGGATGAACTCGATGACGAGCCATGCTTGTGCTTGTGTTTCTTCATCTTTTTCTGTTTCTTCTTCTTCTTCCCGTGAGCGACCACGCCCACTGAACCGGAAGCAGGGTATCCAGGTGCTGCCGCACCAGGGTAGCCGACAGGAGCTTGTGGGTACTAGGAGTGGAAAATAGATAAATGTAAATGACAAAAAAATAATAATAATGAAAATGATAACGATTATGCTCATCATGGCGACTGGCTGGAATGCTCCCCAGGGAGTATAGAATGTGCATACATTGTGTGCGGGTAAGCCTGAATCCGATGACCGGGGTAATAATATCTCTGTAAAGCGCTTAGACACATCTTTATATCAATGTATTGGGCACTATATAAAAACAGAATATTATTATTATATTATTATGATAATGATAATGATGATTATACTCATAATAATCCGTAACATAGCATATGCGTACCCTAAATAACACTGAGTGGGGGGGGGGGGGGGTGTCATGATAATGAATATGTATCAGATTATGCAAATGTGACACCTGTGACCTCAGGAGGTCAGATCGCATGTGCGCGATGTATATGCGATACGCGTGACTTGATACCCAGTGCGGGGAATAAACACCAGACTATGGTTTATGGAATTCAACTACTTTGTTAGTTTGTTTGCACTTAATATGTGACATTGGCGACGAGGATTAATGTTTCTTGGATGTTGAATCTGTGGCTACGAGCTGGAAAAGTTTCAACATGGCATTCGCTGGAGCGGAATTGTTAGCGCTTCGAGGAGTTCCACACTTCGATCCGACGGGTGGTGCAAGTATTGTCAGCGGCAAGTGGAAAGCTTGGCTTGAAGAGTTCGAGGCCTACGCCGATAGTCGCGGCCTGTTTCTGGACGGATGTACGCCGGCCCAGGAGGCGCAACGGAGAGCACTGTTGCTGTACACTGCGGGGCCTGTGGTAAGGGAGACTTTCAAAACACTTCCCAATAAAGGAGAGAGGAATGAGTATCAAAAAGCCACAGATGCCCTAAATGCTCATTATGTTGTCAAACCTAATGCTACGTTTCAAAGACATTTGTTCAGGAAAACAAAGCAGGAAGATGGTGAAACGGTTGCCCAATTTGTTACCAAATTACGACAGGTTGCTATTGGATGCAATTTCGTAGCTGGGGATGTCGAAAACCAAATTCTTGACCAAGTAGTTCAGTACTGCAGAGCTGATAAACTTCGCAGGAGAATGCTGGAGAAAGGAGGTGAGCTCAAGTTAAATGATGCATTGTCCATGGCTGCTGCTCTAGAAGCTGTTGAAGGTCAATTTAACTCCATGTCATTGAGAGAGAGAGAAAGGCCTAGAGCTGGTGGGCAAGGTCAAGTGAATCAAGTATCGTACGAGAATGACAGA